CTAATTATCTAGATATTTATCAAAGAGAAGATATTGGAAGAAAGTATAACCAAAATCTACCAAATTTTTAAAGGATGAGCATTCATTATAAATATTTGGTTAAGTGTTTCTCTAAAAGAAGAACATAAGTTTTCATGTTGGAAATGAAATAGGATAGTATTAAAAATAAGCACCAATTGTTCCTGGCCCTCTCAACTATATTTTTCTACCTTTGCTTCCACTTTTTCCAAAATTTTGTTTATTCTGACTATACCTCCTGAAGGGAGTTTTCCACATAAAGTTCTTCTGATTGGTTGCCAATGAGTCAGGTTTGCACTCTGCCTTATCTTTAGGGCAAATTCCAGACAAACAATATAGGGGAGGAAGAAAGATTATGAAGCCAAGCATGTAAAAAGCATACCTGATACAGACCTAATCTAACACCATTTCCAAAAAAAAAGGAGTCCAGAATTAATCATTGAACTCTATTTATCATGTTAAAACCTCACTACCAGAGATGATTTGACAATGGATATAACAAAAATAAAAAATGTACATTTTCTAATAAAACTGATAGGGCACACTACATAAGATAGAAATCTTAATAGGTCAATTTGTCAATATGGGGGGGGGAGATTTTTTACAATACTTTTTATCTCCTTTGAAAATTTCCTTTGAAAATTCAACCAACTACTATTCATATTTACTGATTTTATGTGAGGGCTAATACTATTTCTTCAGGGCTCCCAGAAAGTAACTAATACCTGTGAAGTCTCAGGCAAGAAACTCATAAAGACCCAAGATAAGACTTTGAAAGGAAAAAGATGTGAGAAGTAAGGAGCTAATTGGATGGATAGTGGTAATATGGGATGAGGTTTCCTAGCCTGTGAATTAAGATTATACCTTGAGTGATTCTTGGCTAGGAATGAAATGTGTCTCACCAAGAGGAGTAAGAATATATTGGTCTGGAAATTTGCCAATCTGATCAATAGGAAAGGCCTGGAATCCTTATGAGAGTTCAGTAAAGACTTTTCCAAATAGCATGATGGATGAGATTCCTAAAAATGGAAAGAATTTGGAGGAACTGAGGAAAGCCAGCCTTGGTCTCTGGGATCAAGTAAGAAAGAAGAATAGTCTGATGATCATATAGGCCATATTAGAGATTTTAGATTTTCTTTTTTCCTAAATGCAATAGGAAGCCGTTGAAGAATTTTAAGTGAGAAAGCAATCTGACTTGTTTTTTTTGTATAAAAATATCACTCTGAAATATGGTATATGAATTGCAGAGAGGTAAAAATAGCAGTGAGAAGCTAATTAGTAGGAAATAGTGGTAGTCTGGACAGAGAGGAGGGAGGTTTGCCCTCAGAAAAAGGTAGAGGAGATGGAGCAATGCTTAATCATTATGGGAGAGTGTAGCTTTCTGGTTATGAGCTGGAAGATTCGATTAACTGAAAATAGACTCTATAATAAATATATGATTTGCTCTCTGTGGAATTTAACTCTAAATAGGTAGGAAAATATAAAGCAAAAATACTACTCTCAATTTAACATTAACCAATAAAGATCACATAGTGAAATAAAGATGTTTGGAATTTTAAGAGAAAAAAAAATCATATTCAATTTAATTAGGGGTAGCAAAAGGAATTCTAGCCTTAGTAGATGTTTATTGTCAACTATAGTTTCCTAAAAATTAACCCTCAGAACCCTACATCACTAGAGTTTAATAGATGTTCTGTGACCAAACTACTTTGTCAAATAACTCCTTTTTAAGTTAAGCAGTTTTCTTTGTTGCAGGATATTTTAGAGTCTTAAATATGCTACTATATCTTGTGATTCTCTAAAACACCACTGCCCAATAAATCTACAACATGAGCCACACATGTAATTTTAAATTTTCTAGTAGCCACATTTAAAAAGTAAATATGTAAAATTAATTTTAATAATATATTTTATTTAACATATCAAAAACATTTTATATATAGGCAGTATAAAATTATTGAGACAGTTACATTAATTTTTTCATACTCTCTGCAATCCTACCCATATTTTATATTTCCAGCACATCTGAATTTGGACTAGTCAAATTTCAAGATTCAATAGTCATGTACTGTTAATCACTACATTTTGCACAGGGCAACTCTACAGCATCTCTTAACTTTTCTCCTTGCCTTTTCAGTGAATTTACCTAAAATGCATTTTGAGAAGCTGAGAAATAACAGAAATATGATCCCATAGTCAGTGTCTATAATGAAAAACAAGTCAAAAGAGTTGGGAGGACCAACAAAATTCTGTTGCACCCCATGGTACCTTAGCCTTTGAGAAAGAGAAATTCAAAATGGAACAACATGGCTACTTAAGGAGCTCCTTGGTAAATTCTGACTCTTAAAAGGATATGTACAAAATGACACCAAGGTGTAACATACCTCAAAATATCCACAAAATAGTCACACAGACCTATCAAAACAGTATCAAGGAAGTAAAAGACTATATTTTAAAATAAAATGCTAAGACTTCAGAAGTTTCATTATTATTATTTTTTATTTATATTTTCTCTGCATCAACACTGTATCTGATGAGTTTCAAATATCACATTTAAATCTTTCAGTGATCAAATCGTAGGTTGGATATAATATATGCAATGAGATACTCAAGCATAAGACATGCAAAATAAAAAGAACTCTTATCAAGTTCATGAAACACTATGCACTATGCTAAGCACTTTCACAGATTGTTTTATGTAACGCTTGCAACAATACTATAAAGTAAGTACTATTAATGCCATTTAAAATTGAGAAAACTGAAGAAAAAAAAATTTAGGTAACTTCATGAAGTCTCAGAGCTAATGGGTTAATGGTAGAACGAGGACTTAGACCCAGCAGCAAAGTCTTCAAGTTTCAATCATTATGATCACTGTGTGCCCCTTAACTTTGACAGAATGGCTTACAAATAACAGCAGATTTAAAAAATCCTGAATGAATTAACATTTTGGAGAGGATTCAAGTACAAAATAGTATTTTCTATAATTTTTCTTTCAAGGCTAAGATTATTATTTGAAGTAATCTCTAACCAGGACAACTTATATTTACCAAGTACCTATAGCTTTCTCATGTTTTAGAACTGAACTAGGTATAATTTACAAATAAAATAAACATCCCCTAAGAAGTTACCATTATACTGGGTACCACAAGGGTCTAAAACATCAATTATAATACAGGAAGTGGACATACACTCTACAACTGGACTACTAAGTTCAAATCCTGACTCTGCCTTATAAATAAGACATTATGCAAAATACTTAACCTCTCTGTACCTCTTTGACCTCATCTATATGGGGATAATAATACTCCTTCCCCACACATTGTTATGAGAATAAGTTAATATATGTAAAATGATTAAAAGAGCGTCTTGAATATTGTAGGAGCTTAGTCCTAAATGTAAGTTATTAATGTCTATTCTGTTTCTGCTATATTTTTCTATAAATCCTGGTCATCTCTTAGTAAAACCATCATGTTATCTCTTCTTCAATTCTTACCTTTAGCCCCTTCCTTATATTGACTTAGTGCTCTGCTCAGAATGGGCCCCGAAGCATTCTTCCATTATCACCACTCTTCTCTTTATAAGGAGGAGGGCAGCAAGCTCTCTTTCTGCTCCAGAGACCTCCTTCAGGGAACCCAGATTACCATCTTTTCCCACTTCCTCTTATCATACCCACTTCCAAAGTTACCATGCTGCTCTAACAGGGAATTCCATTACCTACCTACACTCTCTCATGACCATCACTTTAAGCACACTACACAACTAGAACATCAAGTTCCTACTGCTTCATAAACTGCTCTTTTCTTTAACTAAAATGACAGCTAATATTCTATATCTTGCATGAAACTTTCCTGATATTGATGCTACTACCTTGACCATTTTTCCCTCTGACAAAATTTTAAGTGAGAAAATCCTGTCACTCACATTAATTGAAACCTCTCCTTTGCCTGTCCATAAGCAAAGCAATTTATCATATTTTTCCCTCAACTTTTGTTCAGTGGTTTATTTGATCTTTGTATCCAACCACATATATCAGTGCTTACCAGTGGTTTGCTACTTAGGGCGCTTCTAGTAGTTTTATAACAAAAATTTTGACTGGCACAATTGGGGTGATCCGACTGGTAGATACTGGGTAGAGGCTAGGGATGCTGCTAAACATCTTACAATGCACAGGACATATGCTCACAACAGAGAATCACCCAGCCCAAATTGTCAATAGTACTAAGGTTGAGAAAGCATGCCACAGACTAAAACTTCTAGAATGGGTCTCATTTAAATATGTTTGATTATATATTTTACCTATCACAACATTTTACCTATCACAGTTTTTAGAAATAGTAATAATGCATATTATCTATATACAGTTGCTCCTCAATTTATGAGGGAGTTATGCCCCGATAAACCCATAGTAAGTCTAGGAGCATACTAAATGCTTATTGCTTTTGTAAAGTAGAAAAATAGCAGTTAAACTATCCTAAGTCAGGGGCTGTCTGTATAAACAGTATAAACATGTGCAAGGTATTAAAAAATGTTTAAGAGCCAAAAGGAATTAGAGGTCATCTAATTTAAATTTCTCAGAAACTTGATGCCCAAAGAAATTAGGTAACTTGCCTAATGGTACTCAGCTAATAAGCATCAAATCCAGAAGTCTAAACTCATTGTTTTGCATTATCACATACACATCACATTTAGGAGAATAATAGCATGCATGGTAGGCAGCATAATGGACTCCCAAAGATGCTCACATGCTAAACCCTGGAACCTGGGAAAGTTATGTTACCTGGTAAAAGGGACTTTGCAGTTGGAATTAAGAACATGAACCATAAAACATAGAGATCAACCTGAATTATCCAGATATACATAATCTAATCATACAGGCTCTTAAAAGTAGAAAAGGAAGGCAGAAGAGTTGGATATAATGGGGGGAAAGGTAGGGGAGATTTGACACATGAGTGACACTCAACCTTCCTTTTTTGGCTTTGAAGATATAGGAAGAGTATCACAGGTTCAGGAATGAGGCACCATCTAGAAGCTGGAAACGATTGTCGGCTGACAACCAACATGGAAACAATGACCTTGGTTTCTACAACCACAAGAAACTAAATTCTGAAAACAACCTGAATGAGCAAGGAAATGGACTTTATCCTGGAAGCTACAGAAAGGAACACAGCCTTGCCAATATCTTGATTTGATCAGAGAGAACTATGGTGGACTTATGACTACAGAACTATGTGGTAATAAATTTGAGTTGGTTTAAGTCACTATCTTGTGATGATTTGTTATAGCAGTAATAGGAAGTTAAGAAACTAAAACTACACTTATTGAACACTATGTGTCAGATAACATTTTCTCCAATTTATATTACACATATGTTATTTCAAAAAGGTCCTCAGAATATTCCAGTAAAATGAGCACTTTTACTCTCTGAAATATTCTACAGACTGTAAGTTTTCAAATTTCAAAAAATATTGAAATTTAATCTTGAACAATACAATATGCAATGTAAATGTGAATTTTTTAAATATCAGAAAGAATTTGCATACCTGCAACAACCCTGATAATTGTGTCAGATCCTTGAACATTGCTTCTTATTCTAAGTACTGTGATGTTAAATATTCCACCAGGCGAAATATTTGTAACTGTGTGCTCAGTCATCATTCCCCAAATAAGATATTCTTTTGCAAATGTTCTGTTTGCTATATAAATCTTGTAATGAGTGAAGTTGGTCTCTGTTGGATTCCACATTAAATTTGCAGAAGTATTCACAGCTTTTAAGTTTAAGGCACAAATCCTAGATGGTTCTATTAAAAAGGTAAATTATACATAAGTAGAAATCACACACATATATGTAAAATGAAGTAAACATGAATAATATAAACATCTATGTAATAATCCTTGATTTTATTCATGTATATCCTACATGTTCAGCTCTGCAAATAGAGAGATAGGGTATTACTTAATGGGTTTTAATTTAAGTGGCACAACATCCTCCCTAGTCCCCAAATATCTTTCCTTAATCAATCATAAATGACTCCTAATGAAGTCATTTCTTTAGATGTGTGCTCCCTGAGTGCTTGTAGCCATAAATATCCTTAAATGATATAATCATAGTTTTGTTAGCTACCACCTCGTGGATAGCTAGATACCGAATGAAAATAAAAGAGGGTAAGTAAGGGAGAGAGTGAGGGCCAGGAGAAAGGGCCCTTTCAAATGTGGACCTCTAGTTAGATCAAAGTTTTTAGCATTCCAATATGGCTAATTCACTCATCAATGGAGCTAATATTGCTATTTGCATTATCATCTAGTCTCCACTGAGAGGGGATCTCACAAACCTTCACAAGAACTATTGACAACTAATGCTGTTACTCCATTGCACTCCACCCCAAAACATTATGAAACCGATTTACAATGAATTCGCAAACTTTGGGAAAAAGAAGACAGAAGTTCTGCTTACCAATCACTAACTCAGTCACAGATGAATTATGTTTATGTTATTATGGGATAATATATAGTATACATATACATATATTAATATATTCTATGTATGCGATATATACAATATATACATACACACATACATGTACACTTTGGATTTCAGATTATTTTAAAAACTCTATGTAGTCCCCAATATATTTAGATATACAAATTTTTTTTAATTTCACTTTTTTTATTCTCTTGATAATATTCTTATCATCATTATTCCTTAATTATCAGGCCTTTATGTTTTACAATAGCTATAATTATGCTGAGCAAAATACTTTCTAGTGTTGTAATACTATAGAAAAAGACTTCATTTACGGTAATTCCTTACGTGTAGGCACTTTTTTCATTACAGATACACTGCAATCTTTGCCTCTAACTGTCTTCACTTGAAACACATAGTCCATACCTGGAATCAAATATTTTATTTTGGCTTTGTTGCCATCAACAATTACTTTAAATAGCTTTTCCTTTCTAGATGTCATACAATAGGATATCTAGAGAAAGACAAAAATAAATTTATGTTTTTCATAATTTAAAAAGGATTTATTAATACTTAGCACCAACACTGTATTAGTCATATTTACATAATTTACTACCTCAAAGTAGGGGTTATGATCCTTCCTGTCTTCACTGAGGGGTAAATTGTGGCTAGTTGAGGCTGAATAACTTAGTGAAGTTCACACAGGAAGAAACATTGTGGACTGATGTAGAAGTTTACATGCTAAAAGACCAATAGTCTCAAACTGTTTTTAAATTTCATATGTCTATATGTACACACACACACACAGAGATTTTTATGTGTATATGTATATAATATATATACTATATAATAAGTAGGACTTATTCTGCTGCTCACCAGAAAACAAAAAAATATTATGTAAAAAATGCATTTTAGACATAGTTAATCATTAGGGACAGTACCTACTACCTACTCTCCCAACTCTGTGTAAGTAGAAGACTAAAGGAAGAGAAAGCAAGAAGCAATGAAGTCCCATTTATCTATTAATATTTACCTATCTTCTTTTGAAAAGCATTGTTCATGTCTTTTGCCCGCTTTTTAATGGGGTTGTTTATTTTTTTTTCTTGCGGATCTGCTTGAGTTCTTTGTAGATTCTGGTTATTAGCCCTTTATTGTATACATAGCTTGTGAATATTCTCTCCCATTCTGTAGATTGTCTGTTTTCTCTATTGGTTACTTCCTTAGCTGTGCAAAAGCTTTTTAATTTAATCAAGTTCCATTTATTTATTTTTGGTGTTGCTGTGATTGCCATTGGAGTCTTCTTCATAAATTCTTTCTCTAGGCCGATATCTAAAAGAGTTTTTCCAACATTTTCTCCTAAAATTGTTATGGTTTCATCCCTGACATTCAAGTCCCAAGTTTCTGGCCTAGTGGAGAATGTCATGACTTTTTCCTGTCTGTCCAAGGATCAGAAAATAGGGTTCTTATGCCCATACTCAGATTCCAGCTAAATGAGGAGGGTCCCATGTGTATCATTACCATAATTTGTGGGTAAATGGTAGAGGGCATGTCTTAGGCAGCGGACTTCCTGCTCTGCCCCTAATGCCTTGTTGAGCACTGAAAAAGAAAATTAGAAAGCAAGCTGGGCACAGTGGCTCACACTCAGCACTTTGGGAGGCCAAGGCAGATGAATCACTTGAGGCCAGGAATTCAAGACCAGCCTGGGCAATATAGTGAGACTTTGCCACTACAAAAAAATTTAAAAATTAGCCAGGGTTGGTGGCACACACCTGAAGTCCTAGTTACATGGCATGTTGAGGTAGAAGGATCACTTGAGCTCAGGAAATCAAGATTGTAGTGAGCTGATTGCACCATTGCACGCCAGCCTGAGTAACAGAGTGAAATTCTATCTCAAAAAGAAAAAGAAAAAACAGAGCAAAGAAAGGGTAACTGTGAAGTAATTTGCACACCCACCTTTGCCCTGACAAAGATCCCAGAGTCTCCCATGGGTGAAGTATAACCACAGAGAGTGGTGAGGTTTGACTCATCTTGCCAGCACTTTACCCAAGAAGGCCAGCCTCTATAGAAGGAGTCTCTAGCAGCAAAAGGCAGTGAGATATAATGCCAGCAAAAAAAAGAGAGAGATGGTAGGAATTGAAAAGGCTGAGCCAAAGCTGGGTCTGTCATATCAAGGAAGTGGGCAGTGGAAATAACCCCCAGGACCGTCCAGAGAATTCACATATGTGCCTCAGGAGAGAGCTAGTATTTGGAGATCTGTTAAACAGATGTCACTGAAAGCCAGTCAGTGATAGTCAGTGGAGTAGTAAAAATCAACAAGAGAGAGAACTGCAAAAAATAGACACCTGGAATAGAAAAGGCACTCCAATTTTTTTTGTTAGATAAATGAATGAATGAATAATAAATTCATACTGCATGCGAGTCCATCTTTCATCCTAACCCGGGCCATGTCAATCAATTATTCATTAAAGCATTGAGAAGGGGCATTGCCTTGAGAAATGTTCAGTGGAGTGATCTGATAGTTCCAATACCCTAGAGATTATTTTAATTCATTTAAGGCTACTTATAAAAATTTTTATTCTTCTTCACTCCATACTTCATGTTTGTAGAATAGAAAGAAAGGTATGTATAAATAAAAATAACCACATCAATTTTATAAATTATTTAAACTTTATTATTCTTTGAAAAACAACTGTGAGGTGGCAGAAGTCAAACAAATTTCCTACGCACACATATTTATTGCTGTCTTGTGAGAAAGGTGCTTTGTTACTGAAGGAAGATTGATTCATAAGGTGCCACTGACAATAACCTTGCTCATGTGTCATATGAAAAGACAAGAGGAATGAGTAGAATGCTGAGAATTTCGGGTGTGAAAAAGGATGGCAGGAGAAAATGCCATGCAATAGTAGAAGAATATAATCTTAATGGAGTGCTAAGTCCAGACATAGTCATAGTAAGGCATTAATGAAGGGTAGAAGGAAAATAATTTGGCTGTAGTGATCTAATAATAAAATTATGTAACTAATTCTTTAAATGCAATTCAAAAAATAGAGGGTTATGCATTCCAAAATATATGCAGAGTACACAGGCCTAACAGAAACATAATTTGTGCTTTATTGCCACTTAAAGCATAGGTTAGAGACCTGGGATGATTAATTTTAAATGATTAGGGAAATGATCCCAATTATGCAAGTGCACTTTGCTAGGTGACCAGGATACTGTTGCCGAATTCATTAAAATTTAACAAATAATCTCATTGGTTGAGAAAGACTCAGATAACCATTACTGATATAATGTGGTCAATAATAATCATCTGAATCCTAAACATTAATATGCTCCCTTAAAATCAGTTTAACTTAATAATAGCTAGATGATTTACAGTCTCTGAAAAAAAAGTCTTCTTATGAATACAGTAGAAGTCATTGGTTATAGATATATCTGACAACAAATAATTTTATGGCCTCAGTTAACCCCATGGAAGATCATTCTACTTGTCATTTTCCTTGAAATAGGACAGACAGACCAGAGTAAGGAATGTGGACATTTTACAATGAATGTTACAAATGCTTGGACTTTTCACTAGAGAATACCTATACTGAATATAGGAATGAATTCAATCATTCTAGAAAGAATGGAGTTTTTCATGAATGATTTATTATTCAGGATGCCCTATGATTGAATGACATTTACAAATGACAAACAGAATACTCTGTTTGGTGTTCCTGACTTTGTGACCTTGCTAGTGTAGAATATCCTCTCCTCTTTTCCATGAGTTTGAATCCTACCTGTTATTAAAAAGTCATCTTAAGTTGCAACCTTTCCTGATATATTTAGTATTGATATCTTCTCTCCATAATCACCCCAAGCATATATGGGAACATTGGGTATGTAAAGTTCTACTTATTCATCGACTATTTATTGAATGTCTATTAAAGGGCAAGTATTATTTTACACACTAGGGATAGTATGGTAAACAAGACAGAAAAGGCCTCTGATTATAAGGAAGTTACATTCCAGTGGTGGCACAAAGCAACTAAATAAATGAATAACTCAGCTAAATCATACAGTGATTACTAGAAGCAGTTCTATTTAGATTTAGTAATCAAGGAAGGATATAAGGAGATGATATTTGAGCTGAGAACTCAATGATCGAAAAAAAAAGTCAACCAAAACTGGATGCAAGATGCCTATGCAAAGGAAACGTCAGGCATAAAAACCCTGTAGTGGGGATGAGCTTAGCACGTTTGAGGAACAGAAAGAGTGACATATATGGTTGCAACATAGTAAGTGAGTGGACAGAATACTTAGATAAAGATCCAGTCCTCCAGATGAAGTCCTGGAGAACACAGCAAGTATAGATTTTATTTGAAGAGCAACAGAAATCCACTGGCGGATGTTAAGTAATATTCTGTGAATTGTAAGGAAATCAAGAATGGAAATGGAAAATAGGAGGAAAGATGCTACCATCCATCATCTAGGCTGCTGGTCTTGATAAAAAATGATACTGACTAGGATCTGAGGTACGCAGAGGAAATGGAGAAAAGTGAACACATTCAGGATCTGTTTTAGAGATAGCAATGGCCAAAACAGCTGATGTGTTGAGGAATGAGGGAATAGGAGGAGTTAGAGATAGCTGAGCAAGTGATTGCAGAACAGTGTCCTTTTCTGAGATGGGAGAGACTTCAGAGGATCAGAGGTGGGGTCCCAAAGAATAGGTAAGACCTTGTAAACTATGATAAGGAATCTCTTTTAAGAACAAGAATGACATATTTTATTTTACTTTTAAGAAAGAGTCCTCTGACTGCTGTGTGGCAAAGGGGAAGGTAAAAAAGAATTCATTATAAAATTAAGCTTTCTTAATTATGAAATGGGAAACATGAAAACTAAAAAAAGGAAAACTGATAATTCAATCATTCATTCACCAAAATATTTATTGACTTCTGCTATGCATCAAATACTGATCTAAGTAATAGCACATAACAGTGACCAAAGCAGACAAAATGTTCTCATGGAATTCACATGTCAGAGAATTTGCCAGACACATCATCTTATTGAATTCTTGCAACAATTCTATAGAATAATAACAATCTTCATTTGACAGATGAAGAAATAGAACAAAAGAGAATAAAAACTTGCTCAAGGCTCACTGTAGGGAGTGAAGCCAGAATTTAAAGCAAGGAATTCCAGGGCCATGATTCTTCCATTATACCATATTGCCTACCACACATTGTAAAATTACAGGTAAACTGAACATACACATATATATCAAAGATGCATAGCATTAGAAGGCTAGCACATGAGGTCTGGAAGGAAGAAACTGTGGACAATTAAGAGGAAGTACTGCTTTATTCAGTACATAGTAACTTTGGAACTCTACCCCTAAGGAGAAATTAAAGGTTCCTCGAGGAAATTGTATAAGGATGTTAGCACTTGTACATCAATAATAACAATAAAAGATATCATGGTAAAAGTAACACAGAAAAAGTTAAAGGGAAGCTTCATAAAAGCTCTGTAAAAGAAAATGTAATTCCCTGCAGATGTAATCACAGAGGCTTCAAGGAAGGAGTGGGATTTGAGCTGGACACTGATGAGCCAATTTTTGTCATTCTTCCACTTTATCATTAAATCTAGATGACAAAAGTCACTCTCTGTGCTGTCTAATATGATGGCTGTTTGCCACATGTGTGCATTATTTCAAATGTGTTTAGTCTGACTTGAGATGTGTTCTACGTATAAAATGTATACCAGACTTTTGAAAGTTAGTATGAAAAAATAATAAAATATCTCATTAATAATTTTTATATTGTTTACATGTTAATATTTTGAATATATTGGGATAAGTAAAATATACTACTAAAACTAATTTTACTTTTTTTAATGTTTCTGTTAGAAAACAAAATTACACATATCCCTCTCATTTGTAGTTCACTTTATTCTGTATTTCTAGTGGACAGTGCTGATCTATCTACAATGAAAATATACTTGGAGCTCATAAAAACCAGCTGAAAGGCATAAGAAAGAGAATGGCAAACTTCAAAAATATTCTATGTCAACTATTTGAGTTTTTTCTAAATTGATACTGAATTCTTTTAGGTCTTAAATATGCATGTCTATGTTTATTTTCATGCTTGGAATAGATAATACCTTCAGTTCCATTACAGTTCTTGAGATTCTTTTAAAGACTATAAATCTCTTTATATTCCCAGTGTTCATGAAAAGAAAGCCAGCAATCTAATAGTTTCAAAGAATTATTAACTAGAACAGATATTTGCTGTTTAAATGAATTTCACAGTTTGTCCATACTAATAAATGTCTCTTATCTTTTAAACTGCCAGAAAGCTGAGCAAAATAAGAATTTGTTTTGTAAAATTTATTACCATAACTTTGTGTGTAAGTATATTACTAAGAGATTAATTCTTCTAATAACAAAATTGGTTGAAGTTAATATATATTAATCTAGTGAAAATATAAGATATGTGTATCCTTTTGTTCTCTATGACATAGACTTTATTACCACTGAAAAACTAAACTCCTTGAAAGTCAGGTGTCAGCTCTCACACATATTTGAACACCTCCTGTGACAATTTTGTGCTTTTAAAGAAGTAAATTAAAAAGTCACTTGGGGAGAAAACTTACATGAAAAGAGTGGCACAATAATTTCTAAAACCACTAATGTAACATGAAGGACAAAAAGGAGTGAAATAAAGGCCTCCATAAACATCAAGATTTCATGAGAGCAGTGCCTTCCTTTACCTGAAATTTTTCCAAGACTCCTTGTGGTAGTTTCCAAGACAAATATATCATGTCTTTGTCTTGCTCCAAAATTAGCAAATCTGAAGGTGGGTCTGGATCTAGAACAATGAAATAAGACACTGGAATAATATCTTAAATAAAGACACATCAACCATCATGTTATGTATACTTAACAGATGACCTTGACTTTGAAGAACACTAGATAGGAGACAGAATACCTATATTTTTAGTCAATTTTATTAATAGCACTATGTGACCTTCTGCATAGTTTACCCTAAGTCCAGTCTCTCCATCTCTGCAATGAAAGGGAAAAAATAATTTTCTGGAAAACCTCTTCCAACAATAAAATTTTATGAACTATAGATTTTCACATTTATTTTTCCCACAGTGGAATTTAATATGAAGTTCTTACAACTGGGATTGTTTTCTTACAATTTTATACACTGCATTAAGTAAGAGATATATGCTTCAGCCTTAAGTTCACAAACTCTATTTTTTAACCATTTTATCTGAGAAGGCTTCAGAAAATTATTTTTCAAATCAATAATATGTCATTATTTTGAATTCATAATTCAGATTAAAATATTATATTGTTTTCCTTAACAAACAAATATAATACTAAGAATTTATTGGTATAATTCCAACTCTAAAATTCAAATTTGCATCACGTTTTTTGCCCCCACTTACATATAAATTTCAGTCTATTAGAATTAAGTTCAGTGGTAAATTTTTCTGTGATACACATTCCTTTCCAAATGGAATTAATTTATTATTCCCATATCATCTTTTAGCTCTATGTTGTATAGTTATTAATATTCTATCTACTTCCAAATGAATCTGAGGTATCTTGCAAAGAAAGGAAGGTACAAAAAGGCAAAAAAATCATTAATATACAATAAAAGACACAAGACATTGTAAAATGGGAAGGGTGAGAAACAAAATAAGTTACCGGCTTTGTTTGAGAACACACAGTCAAAAAGCAATAACATCGTGAAATATGCAAGTATTATTAATCCCATGTTAGAAATGAGCAGCCTGAGATGCAAATAGAAAATAATTTTTTACAAAGCCACAGAGCCAGAATGGGTATAGTTAGTTATTCCTATTACCATGGCCTTTCCACTGAAGCACAATGGTTACGAGGTCAGATTTTGATGTCAGGGAAATGTGAACAGAAATTTTTCAAAAGAAGACAGAATAATGGCCAACAAACATATGAAAAATGCTCAACATCTCTAATCATCAGGGAAATGCAAATCAAAACTGCAATGAGATATCACCTATGTCCAGTAAGAATGGCTTTTATCAAAAAGTCCCCAAACAATAAATGTTGGTGTGGATATGGAGAGAGAGGAACACTCCTACACTGCTGGTGAGACTGCAAACTAGTTCAACCTCTGTCAAAAGCAATATGGAGATACCTTAAAGCGATACAAGCAGATCTACCATTTGATCCAGCAATTTCACTACTGGGCATCTACCCAAAAGATCAAAAGTCACTTTATGAAAAAGACACCTGCACTCAAATGTTTATATCAGCACAATTCACAATTGCAAAGTTGTGGAAACAACCCAAGTGCCCATCAATACATGAGCGGATTAATAAAATGTGGTATATGTATACCATGGAGTACTATTCAGCTTTAAGAAACAATGGTGATATAGCACCTCTTGTATTTTCCTGGATAGAGCTGGAACCCATTCTACTAAGTGAAGTATCTCAAGAATGGAAAAACAAGCACCACATGTATTCACCAGCAAATTGGTATTAACAGATCAACACCTCAGTGGACATATAGGAATAACATTTATCAGGTGTTGGGCAGGTGGCAGGGGGCAGGAGGGGATGGGTATATACAAACACAATGAGTGAGATGTGCAACATTTGGGGGATGGTCACACTGACTCAAGGTGGGGGGCATGGGAAATATACATAACCTTAACATTTGTACCCCCATAATACGCTGAAATAAAAAAAAAGAATCTCTGTGTCATCGTGTATAAGCTATTGACATTCTCTAGGCCTCGGATCCTCATTTGTAAAACATGTAAAAATATGTATCTCATTATGATTGCTAGAATAAAGGTTGTCAGTGGGAGTTAAGTGATATAAAACATAGAAAATGACTATGCTTGACAAAGACACTTGATGTGATACATTCAATGTAATGATGACGGCAATGATGACAATGCTGATGATGATGGTGACAAGAAGAATGACACAGCCCAAATCTAAGCAGCAACTACCCTTTCACTGATAGAAAATAATGAACAGTCATGTTAAAAATGAAACTTTTACTCATCTATTTCTGATATTTCTCAGGATGGTCTTTATGAGAGGCAGCAGGGTGTCTTATGAACTTTAGAGTTAGATACCTAGGTTAAAATGTCATCTTTAATAAGTAATGAATACTTCTGGGCCTTAACCTACATTTTTGGTAGCCTACAGAAATTCGATGCAGTGACTTAAGTATATAATACCATGGTGGTGTATAATAATTGCTTGATTTTTTTAGTTTATTTTCCAGGAATTGATTTGACTATTGCTGCATTTTTAAGTGTTTTCCTTTCCTTCACACTGCAACTTCTGAAACTAGGCCTTCTCTCATAACTAATAGGGACTTGGTAATTTAGCACACTTTCATGGGACTAGGCCCCTAAATATAAGAGCTCTTGGAATGGCTTCATATGTTTAGGGAAAGCATATAGGTATTAGGATAGAAGAGGCAAATTGAACCCAAATAATGCAATAGAAAAGACAGTTATATCTATTTTTTCATACCCCAAGTTTTTTTTTATTTTCATAAAATGTTAATAGATATAGTCAAAGTATTAGAAAATATTGAGTATTTTATGACAATAACATGTTAGGGTTTTAGAGTACTTTGCACTTTCAAAAAGAGTTTCACGTTTGATTTTAGTAACAAGATCTATTATCTAGGCAGGAATAATGAGTCTCATTTTCTAAGTGAGAACTTAATTGTTTTGCTTAAGATCACAGAGTAAGTGATAGAGGCAGGAATATAACTCAAGACATTCTCCATGTAAATATAGTGCTCCTTCTCTTCAAGCATATTGTAAACCACTTCAGAGTCACTCATTTTTAATTTGATATTGGCTTTAACCAAAACTATTTCTCTTCTTTTCACCCATGAAAAGTTAACTAAACATAAAATGAACTTAGAAGTGCTAACCATGAGGACAGTAGGATAGCTTCTTTTTAGTCCCTTGGCAGTCATAACATCAATTAAAAAGTCAGTGCCTGGAGAAAGGCTATTAAATGTGAATGTCCTACACATTAAAGAAAAGTCACATATTAAAACATTTAGCTCAGAAACATTTGGAAAACTCCATTTTCTCACACCATCTGCAGAAAAAAATTTTATGTACATTTTGGTTTTTTATTGTCTATCATGGAAATAATTTGCTATGCTTAAACACAAATGGCTGATTAGAAATGATAGTTTCTTACATAGAGAAATTTTAAGTCAGAAAGTGAATAAATATAAGTATGAAAATATCCTGAATTAAGGCATTATTATTCATCTTTGCAGAAATAATTTGTCTCAGTATATAAGATTTAGTTATTCTGATCATACTGTAACCCAAAAAATTGTCTTGCAAAATTTTCTAATTTCTGTTTATGTTTATCCACTAATGTGGCTTTCTAAAACATATATAAAATGCTAATTTTATGTTCCACGTAACCTGACATAATTTCTTTTCAATATTTTCATACCTTTTAGTGGAAGGCAGGATTTCTTCTTTCATTAAACTTTCACTGAATATTGAAATAATGTATCCATCCAGAAGACTTCTAATCGAAGGCCAGCTAATAGTTATTGCATTTGAGTCTCTACTATGGTTCATAAAGTCAACTGAACTGGGGGCTGTATCATTTAAAACATAGACAATAAAATACCATTTTTTTTATAGCACAAACTATCTGACTTAAAACAGCCCTGAATCACTCTTGGGATTTGACTCTCTAAAAACTCTGAAAGTAGCCAAGACATTTCTTTTATTCTAACTGGTCGATATGAGAAGTTATAAGTAAAAAAAAAAAAATTATCTTAAGCTTTGAAATAAGGTCAACATGCGTCCTAGTAGAATTGTGCTCAAAATTTCCCTTGTCTCTAAAATATAAGAAATAGATCATATCTTGGTGTTGTGCAACCACCAATCTCAGAAATATTTAATTATTTTTAGGACTCATCCTAATTAAATACCAAAGAGTGACAAGGTTAATCATCAGGAAAGTTAATTGCAATCTAAATATGAAATGTCTTCCTTCTTATTTTGTTTTCTCTTTAAAATTCTTCCATGTATAAAAAAGGAACAAAATTGCCAACATATTCTTTCTCAGTCTCATTCTTTGTTATTACAGTAAAAGAATACCAGATATGACCAGGTTATAAATACATAAATCAATCTTCCCATAGCATCACTGTCAAGAATAACTAAAATAGTTATTTTAGTGGAATAGCTGATAGTTTTACTTCAGTAGATATGACAACTTATACGTTTTGCATACATCTTTCCCAATCATCTTCTATTTCATATAACTACCATGGGATAAATCATCATCTGCCATTGAGAGGAAGCTGCTTGCACTGGGAAAGTGGCACTTCATTGTCTGCTTAACTGAAAAATAGAGCAATTATTAATAAATTGTAAATGGAGAATCTGGCCAGACCCCAGGCAGTTAGCAATTCACCATCTGGCAATACATAGAGAAAATGGAAAAAGAAATGAGATGCTGCCCATAAAGAAAAACTAGGAAGAATAAACTACTTACTAAATCTTTCCTAAAAGAACCAAATAAAAATATGAACATTAAAGAAAGGCTGAAGGAGCTTATACAGGCTGTACCTGTCTGTATTTCTCTTATGTTAGGGGTATTGTCTTTAAAACCTTCTTTTTCAGTCCGAATTGAAAAGGTATATACTGTGGCAGGATCCAGGTTACAGAATGTTGCTGTTTCTTGAACTACCTTCTGTACCTACCAATCCAAAGGAATAAATTACCAAGTGTTCATTTAACAAAACTTCCCGATCAAATACTAGCAAAAAACAACAACAAAAAACACTTTTGGAGTTATTTAATTTTACTGCTATCTAACGTAATAATGCAGTAATATTGGTTTCAGCATGAAAGACTCAAGTTGAATTCTTCCAATAACCCCTTATAACATACCATGAAAATGGCAGCACAGTTAATGCATGTGATTTCATAATGCTGAAAATTCCCATTAGCTCGATTCCAGAGAATTTCTATGGAAGAGTCCTTAACTTTGCCCTCATGGATATTCGTTGGTACTTCCAGACCTATCCAAACACATAACACACTTAAATTCTTCTCAAATGTTTTCTAACTGGATTTTTCTTTTAACTTACCCCTTTGATGGGAATTAAAAGCACAATATAAAAAAAGAACAACAAAATTTATCAATCAACCCATCTCTCTATCCTAATTAAAAATACACAGACAGTTACAGTTTATAGAATATGATAATCAGTTACTATACTGAGAGCCATGATAAATACCATTACATGTAGCTAATGTTGATATTGCAGCAAAAGCTACACAGGTTCAAATTCACAGGAGCAAATGCACAATATTCAAAGGAATGAAAAGATATTAATGCTTATTGGTACATTAGCATAAGTTGAAAAGACAACAGAGAAAGAAATACAAAGTCTAGACAGAGAAGAAAAAGAATCCCCTTTGTATCAAATATTCACTGAAGCTAAAAATAAATTATATCTGATGAGTTTTAATGTGTATTTTTCCCATCTTAAAGATCTCATCTAGCATAAGGGAAATAATTATTTCAGGAAAACTGAAAAATGGCAGCTTTAAACTATCATCTTTTATATTTATTATTTTGCTGATTGATATCCCAATATTGATATATTCAGATAGATTATTTTTAAAGACAGTAATTGTCAAATAGAAAGAAAGCTATCCATGATGATTTAAAATATAGAGAAATAGAGAGTACAGATATAAAAAGTAGATAGAAATTGCAAGCAAGCAAACATAAAATACAAACGTGTATTGAAATGATTATAAATATGCTAAAATGCTGTAGAAATTTCTGACAGCAGTTGGAAGTATTTTATGGAAAAGATGAATTTAAACAGAAATGGAAAGATTACAATTTGTGCGGAAAAAGACACATGACAGCATTATGACACAGGTAAATGCATATGGACAGGAAGGGCAAATAATGAAGAAACTGCATTTGTTGTATGCATATGTTATAGTCAGAACTGCATATGTTATAGTCAGAATTATAAGGCTTTTAGGACTCCATGTGATTTTTCTATGGAATTTATTGCCCTTTCCTATTCATTTCTACATCTACTGGATAGACAATTTTAAAAATTTTGTGTATTTTAAATGTTCCAAATTAATATTTGTTGAATTTTTAAGTGAATTAAAAAGAAGATAAACCAATACAAATCTCAAAATGCAATTATTGATATAACAAACATATGGGATAGAGATAGTAACAAATGTTAATTTTAAATATTTCAAAATCCAAGAAAAATGTGCACTAGTTTTTTCCAGACAAATGGCAATGTGGGAATAGCAAACACAGGCTTATATTATGTGCTTTGAGACACTATCAGGACCCCTAGATTCAAAAAATATAATCTAGTTCTCATAATTGCCAAAAATTAGTCACATACCTCACTCTTGGATTAAGTCATTTGAAATTCTTGTTAAAATGCAAGTATTTTTGTTAATGGACAGATTTAAAAAAAATTCTTGACCTCAATTTTACATAGAGTTAGGTCTACCTATATATTTGGGCAATGAAAGATCTGCCTTAATAGTGAGGCATTTAAAATTATTTTAAAAGATCCTTGAAAAAGATTGCATTAAAGTGAATGTAGTTTACTAATTTGAAATGGTGAAATGGTATACAAAATAGAAATCAAGAAAGAGTTTATGAAAATCTTAAAATATATGTTTTTATAGCAACACATAATATATATTACTTAATTTAGTCTCACTGATGACGGAAACAAAGAATTTGTATTTTATGCCTGGAGATAAATTTTCAACAGAAATTTTATTACCATGTTTTAAAAGAATGGTTATATTTGGCCCTCCTTCAATTACAATATATATGCCATCAAACATTCCAACATTGGGCATTTGAGCAAATAAGATTACAGAGGTACTATGACTTTCATAAGGGATAATAATCCAGACTGGTTTGGGCTCTGAAAGATAAAAGAAGACATTTATAATTAGTAATTTTAAAATTTCTCTAAATTTTATCTAGCATGTTCTAGAATTTGTGAGAATATTAAATTCCTATGCATTAAACTTACATTTACTATTCTAGCAAAGGACAGAGAAATAAGGTGAATATTCTGACAAACCATACATCCATTTATATTGGAACTACATAAATAACTTTCATCTTCTGATTCTTCATAATAGTCTCAAGAAACATAATCTGAGATTTTTCAATTGTTTACCTCTTTCTTTATTAAGCAAATGTTTTTGAGAACCTGTATATAAAAATGAATGCTCAAATAAAGCATATAAGGCCAGGTTTCTGCTTTCAAAGGGGTCCCAATCTCAGGAAAGAGATTTATAGATCACTAACTAGAATCCCAAATAGCCAGAGCTGATCTAGTGACATGAACAAAAAGTTATTTAGAACAGAGGAGGAAATCATCAATGTTAGCAGCAGCGAACACTGGGGAAGGCTTTGCAGAGTCAAAGATGTTTTTATTTCAGTCTTAAAAGACAGTACAAGTTTACCAGAAAGAGTATGTGTGAAGGGGAAGAAGTACGATAGAGGGAATTCCAGGCAAAGAGGAAATCATGGGCAAGGCATGAAAACCAAAGAGGGTATGGTTATGTGTTCAAGGAATACCAAATTCTTTCAGCTCTTTCCTAGTGGAGTATTCTTTGGGAAGTTATATAGTCACTGTGTCTTGGCTTTCTCATCTCTACAATAGGAAGAAGAGTAGTATCTCCATTGCAGGGTCATTGTGCTGGTTAAATAAGAGATTGCACTCGTGTATAAAATGCCTAGGGCAGTGCCAGGCTCCTGGCAGGTGGTTAAAGCATGGGCTATGTATGAGGATCAGGAACTGGGCACACAAGGGCTAGCTACCTCTGAGGCTGGACACTGCAAGGCATTTGGTGTGCCATGCCATGGAGGTCAGACCATATCCTGGAGGCAACAGGGATTTTGAGCAGGCGTGGTGTTTCATTTTTAGAAACACAGTTCCGGCGATAGTTTGGAGGATGGATTCATTTACATTTTACACTCTCCCTGACCTCTATTAAAGAGCTTGATCATACCTCAATTCTCTGCTGTGCTATTTAGAGCAAATTTTAAAATTTTAGACAATTTCTATTCAGATTCTTTTTCCTTCAGGTCAATTTTAATTTTAACTCTATTTGTGGGTTGTTGGGACACCATCCAGTATTTCTTTAAGTCTGCCTTTCTCCCAAGCACATAGTTTCTAAAATATACATTCTAAAAAAGAATTTTTTTCCTCCTCAGAGAATAATTAGATGTTCTTTCCTTTTCAGCTTTATTTGTGACATCTGGTCAGATGCAATGGAACTTGTTCTAAATTACTGTTAAATATTTGATAATGTGAATCTGCTACTTTACCCAGAGCCAGTACTCTGGGTGCCTATAGTGAGCTTTCTAGAACATAAAATCAGTGCAATAACTCCATAAATTCATTCAGCTTTAACTATTAGCCCTCTTACTTTTTCCATTCTCAGTGGTGATGAGGAAATGTTTAATAAACCAACTATAACCAATTCTATATGGTGTACTACTGGGTTTCCTGGCATCTTTACCATGATTTTCTTTCTCCAGTTAGATTTTTTTTTTCAGACAGAGTCTCATTTTGTTGCCTGGGCTAGAGTGCCGTAGCATCAGCCTCCCTCACAGCAACCTAAAACTCCTGGGCTCAAGTGATCTCTTGCCTCAGCCTCCCAAGTAGCTGGGACTACAGGCATGTGCCACCATGCCCGGCTAATTTTTTCTATATATTTTTAGTCATCCAGCTAATTTATTTCTATATTTTTAGTAGAGATAGGGTCTCGCTCTTGCTCAGGCTGGTCTCAAACTCCTGAGCTCAAACGATCTGCCCGCTTCAGCCTCCCAGAGTGTTAGGATTACAGGTGTGAGCCACCACGCCCGGCCAGATTATCTTTACTTTTATGTCATCACTAACATTTTTGTGGGTTTGCTCTTTAAATTCTCTACAGCCATCTTTAGTTACAAAGGTCTAAGAGTAACTGTGGATTTTATAAGGCAAGAGTGACATCCCTCAAGCACATAACCCACCTGAATCAGTGGGCAATGACCTGTGAAAGCTTCTAAATATGCCTGGAGCAGGAATTAAAAGATCTGGGGATGGGGAATGAATGAACAGTATAATCATGGAACCAATTCACCTCCATGTTCTTGGGTACTGATGGCATTTTCTAAGAGAAGAGACTTCAAATAGACAGGGTCTAAAGTAGCTTCTAAAAGTATGTAAAGTCAGTGCTGTCTCCTCAAGTGGGGTAAGCATGAGGTTTTCCACCAATTCCATTTAGGGAATGGAGCTAATTGTGGTAATGCACGACAATTTAAAGCAGAGAGTCAGCAAGGCTGGATAGGTATAGAATAGGACAAAGTTCTGCTTTGTCTTTAAAACTATATCTTGAAAATCTGGAAGAATCACATGGAAAAAGAGTTTATTAAAAATAAAGAAAAGAAACATATTGCCACATTCTGGGACTTTGAACAGGTTCTCCCTCTGTGACTGTGATCTCTATTCTTATCTGTTTTCCTGCAAAAGCTGTAGCAAAAGAAGTGATAGCATCAGGTTTTCTCAACATGAGATGAACTGAACTAGGCCAAATTCAAAGGCTTTTATTACAGGGAAGATAGAATGAAATCTAGGGGATGCTCAGTATATCATGAAATTTATTCTGCTACACTGAGAGGAAAAAAGGAAACTCAAACACCAGCTCTCCTATAGCTTTTCTCCCCTCAAGAAACCCTGGGTTTAGTTCATTCCTTCAACAAAGAGAAATCACACAGACAGCTGAAATGGCTTTACCTCCTACAAAGCATGGCCATAGCTGCCCAAATGCCACCACTCCAATCCTGGTGAGAAATAAAAATCACAACAACAAACACTCTCATAGTGCTTACTTAGTGTCAAGTCCTTAAATTACACTAACCTCATAAAGTAGATAAGATTATTATCATTTCCATTTTAGAGAGAAGGAAGCTGAGGACCAAAAAGCCTGGGTAACTTTGCAAAGGATGTAAGCTGCCAAGTCACAGAGCTGGAATTCTAACCCACGCAATCCAGTTCCAAGGCTTGTGCTCCCAAGCACCGCCTTCTTCCTAAGGGATCCTTATGGATCCTTATGGATCAAGTGCACAATCAAATGGAGACCACAGTCTGCTAATTATTTTCAGGAAAAATTAGAGTGAGGAATAGTTTCAAAGGGAAATAAATGTGTACATTACATTTTCTTCTAAATGCCTATAACAGGTTATTAAAAAACAAATGCCTGTCTGTGCTTACCTGTTTCAAAGTGTATGGAAGATAGAGAGAAATACAATATGGTAAATTAGGTCTTTTAATAAATATTTTTTTAATGAACACATGAAGAAAGCATGTGTCTATGCACCCTGGGACAGGTTAATACTTGCTTTAGGATATGAGATAAGAACATGACTGATAAATAATCTTGTGATGCTAAAAGTGATTATCAAGCCTAAGAACTGAATAGAACACTTAATAGGTTATAAGAAATGATGGAGTGTTTGAAGGAACTAAAGATAATTACATATGAGGAAAGAAAACACAGGCACCAGGGATACCTCACGAATGTCTCTAAACATTTGATGGCCTCTGATGTGAACCAAGGAGTAGACTTGCTCTGCAATGCTCTGGAGAGCAGACTTGGGTCTATGATGGGAGAAATTTTGTAAATAAATTAGACAAGTCTTGAATGATCAGAGACACTATGCTTGGAATTATATACCAGATGATATATAATTAGCAAAATCTCTGTCCTCACTTCAAACCCATAAATTCTGTTATTCTTAGGATTTGTATATATTAATACATGTTTCTGCATCCATGTTGGATAGCAGTTTGACAAACAACTAACTGAATCAAATACAGCTAAGAAGTCTACTTAGGCTGGAGACACAAGAGCCGAACAAGATTTCAAAAGAAATCTAGAAACAGAGGTTTAAAAAAAGTTTGTATTTTAGATGGCAGATGGATTGAAATATGCTATGTGCCCTAGAGTAAAAGAATTATAAGACTTTTGATCTGGAAAGAAATTTGAAAATAATTTGTTCAATATCTTAAAGTTTTTAAGGAGAAAACTTAGGCCCTGGGATAATATAGAGACATTCTCTAACGTCATAACTGCTAAAAATTGATCTAAGCAGATAAATCATTTCCCATTTTACATTTTAGTTCTTCTGTTTTGCCATTAAGTATGTAGTGTGTTGTTTTATAGTATGAAATAATTCTTCTTGGTAATATCTCTTTCTAGTTGTTTTCCTTTTATAACTACTCCCAATTATAATTATGTTTAGGTAGGTTTTCTTAAAAATTTAAGTATTGAAATGTCATATGTGAATTTAGTCTTTGAATGGTAAAATAGGAAGATACAGTGTGGGTTGAATGTAGATACTGTTGGTACTTACTTTTTTGGATCAATTCCTTTTTTGTTTTCAATAAGGTTCCCCTTATTGTAAGCTATAATGCCTGTGAGGTCCAATAATTTCTCTTCTTCAATGTCACCACCAGGAACCCAAATTGCTCAAGTTAAAACCTTGGGTTTCTCCCTTCCTTCCTTCTTGGCAAGCACTCTATCTTGAATCTCCTACTTCCACACTATAAAATGTATCTACTACTTTCCTTCTGCACTGTTTCTACCCTTGTTTACCATAACCTTTTGCCTAGGCTTCTACAACATCCTCCTACTCAGTTCCTCTGCTTTCAGCCTTGCCCCTTTACAACTCATTCTGTACACATAGCAAGAGGGAAATTTTTGAAACATAAGTCAGATTGTCACTTTCCTGCATAAGATCCTCAATAGGCTTCCCATTTCCCTCAGGAAAAACAGTCAAAAGCATAGCCTATTGGATCTATGTGATCTGACCCCTGAGTACCTCTCCAAAATAATATCCTGATAACTTTCTCCCTCCTAATTAGACACATCACACACACTGTTCTTTTTGTTCTCAAATGCACCAAGTTTTTTCCTGTCTTGCATCCTTTATGATTGTGTTCATGCCTGGAGTACTCTTCCTCCATTTCATCCCAGGCTGGTCTGGGTCCTTTTTATCCTTTAGGCTTCCATTCAAACATAACTTCCTTCTATTCTGGCCTATTTACAGTTGATCCTGCCATCCATTTTCAATTACTATCTGTCACATCATTTTCCTTTTTTTCCCTCCTAGTATTTATCACAATCTACAATAGCTCTTAGATTTGATTAATTCATTAAAGTTCCGATGTACAAAATCAAAGTACAAAAATCAGTATCATTTCTATACACAAATACCAACCAAGCTGAGAACCAAATCAAGAAGGGAATCCCATTTATAATAGCTACAAAAGAAAGAAATAAAATACCTATGGATATATTTAGCAAGGAGGTGAAAGATCTCTACAAGAAAAACTACAAAATACTGATGAAAGAAAATGTAGATGACACAAGCAAATGAAAAAAACATCCCATGCTCATGGATTGGAAGAATTAATATCATTAAAATGACCATAGTACCAAAAGAAATCTAGAGATTCAATGCAATCCCTATCAAAATACCAATGTAATTTTTCACAGAATTAGAAAAAAAAATCCTAAAATTCATATCGAATGAAAAAAGGGCTTGAATAGCCAAAGCAATCCTAAGCAAAAAGAACAAAGCTGAAGGCATCACATTACCTGACCTCAAATTATATTCCAAGGCCATAATAACCAAACTACCATGGTACTGGTTTAAAAATAAACACATAAATCAATCAAACAAAATAGAGAATCCAGAAATAAAACCACATACCTACAGCCAACTGACCTTTGACAAAGTTGAAAAAAACATACACAGGAAAGGACAGTCTTTTCAATAAATAGTACTGGGGAAATTGGATTATTATATGCAAAAGAATAAAACTAAACCTTCTCACTCACCATTTATAAAAATCAACTCAAGATGGATCAATGACTTAAATGTAAGACCTGAACTATAAAAATACTAAAGGAAAACCTCGGGACAGCTCTTCTGAACACTGATCTAAGTAAAGAGTTCATGACTTAAGACCTCAAAAACACAAGCAACAAAAACAAAAATAGACAAATGAAACTTAATTAAACTTAAAATATTCTGCACAGCAAAAGAAATAATCAACAGAGTGAATAGAGAAACTGTAGAATGGGAGAAAATACTTACAAACTAGGCATTTGATGGGGCCCTTATATCCAGAATTTACAAAGACAAAAAACAACAACAATAAAAACAAATAGCCCCATTAAAAAGCAAGCAAGGTGGACATAAATTGACATTTTTCAAAAGAAGACACACATGTGGCCAACAAGTATATGAAAAAATGTTCAAAATCGCTAATCATCAGAAAATTGCAAGTTAAAACCACGATGAGATATTTTACATAGTCAGAATGATTGATTAAAAAGTCAAAAAATAATAGATGTTGGTGAGATTACAGAGAAAAGTGAACTCTTATACACTGTTGGTGAGAATATAAATTAGTACAACCTTTTTAGAAAAGATTTCTTAAAGAACTAAAAGTAGAGTTACCATTTGATCCAGCAATCCCACTACTGGGTATCTACTCAAATGAAAAGAAGTCATTTTATAAAAAAGATACCTCCACTCATATGTTTATAACAGCACTACTCACAACAGTAAAGATATGGAATCAACCTAAGTATTCATCAACTGATGATTGGATAAAGAACATATACACAATGGAATACTATTCAACCATAAAAAAGAATGAAATCATATCTTTTGCAGAAACATTAGAAAGCCCAGTCTTCACTACTACACAATATGTCCATGCAACAAAATTGCACTTGTACCCCTTAAATTTATACAAATAAAAAAAGAAAATGAAGAGATTAAATGAAAATATATGTATATTATCTTTCCCTCCCTAATAAATGTTGAATGACTACTTATTGAGTAAATTAATTATATTTCAGAAAGAACATGTAAACATTTTTTGGTTTGCTCCCAAACCTTTTATTGTTAATATTTTCTTCTAGTGTGCTGTAATATAAGGGCATGTCTTTGTGAACACAATAATTGTAATATATATAAACATATAAAATGTCAGGCACTACTGTATGTCCTTATATTTATTTAATCAACTATTCTCATAATAATCCCATGAAATACATGCTAATATTTTCCCCATTTTACAAATATGGAAGCTGAGGCATAAACAAGTTGGGTACATTGCCCAGAGTTATTCAAATCATGGGACTCAGACTCAAACTTAGGCCGTGTGGCTCTAAGGTCAAGTTCTTAATCACAAGACATGCTGCATTCAGACAAGAATGGAGCATTTCAGGAAAATGAGATGCACACTGCTTCAAATTTCAAGGTTAACATTAAATAAAGCACACCAAAAATCTACTTGAAATGATGCAACCTGCTACTGGAGGAGTACATCAGAGAATATTTTATAATATCCACAAATCAACAAATATCTCATAAAAATGAAAAGTATTTGATTCTCACTTAGAGTTTGTTGAATAGTTACCAGCTCACTCAAGTTCCCATTAATCACTGTTGCGACTCCAATGTCATATGTCATTCCGGAGATTAAATTATCAATCTTAAATCTATTAGCATCCTTTATAAAGAGCTTCATGATTTCACTTGCATCTGATACGGATTTGATTTGAATGTAGATCTCGTGGCCACCTTGTGAAGGTTTCCATTGAAGAATTATACGGTCTTCTCCCACATCTTCAGGTTTAGCATAAACTTTCTGAAATGGATTAATACCTTAGAAAAACAAATAAATAGATACACATAGCTTATTAGTTGGTACTATTCATGCTATTGAGTAAAAATATCACAATTCAACATTAAATAATATTTAAAGCAAATTTAACAAATCCTTATGTCACCACATCCTGTAAACGACTCTAGTTTGGAGAAAAATGTATTTTTATTATCTGCTTATGCACGTGCATTTGTTGCACTTACAGCACCCTTTTACCTCCCTACTCCCGCCTGCTGGCTAATTCCACTCTCCTTTCATGACTGACCGCATTACTCATCCATGACTATTCTTGCACCCCAAGTCTGGGTTAGTTGATCCCTCTCTATGTTCCCATAGTCTCCAGAGCATAGCTCATATAATACCAATTATGATGCAGCACTATCACTGTTCATTAACTTATTTGTCTCATCCCATTAGTATGTAAGCCCACTGAGACTAAGTCTTATCTTCACTACCTCTTATCCCAGCTCCATATCCCAGCTTCTGATACTGAAAATAATTTACTGAGTGAATAATGAATGAAAAAAGAATATTAGTCCAACCTTAGGAGAGTAAAAGAGGGCTGGGTTACTAAATCCTGGACAAGCACTAAATATGTCAGCTTACAGTCAATATACAGAGCAAATGACTCAAAAGTTAAATGTGCAGACTCAGATTGTACCTTTCTCCTGTCTATTAAACAAATAGGTATATATTATGGAAGATTTTTAAGTTGGCTTCAAAATCCTGTGATAAATCCTCCTAGACTACCTGTCAGGTAATGAAAGCACCTTCCTAAAATGGGGACCCAAAAAGCATTTGCCAATGGAAGGATGCTTTGAGCTTGGGGTAGAGAAAACATTTGCTATCTAGTAGCCAATTGCGAAAATATTCTCATTAGGATTTGCAACACTGAATACTTAAACGTTAAGCTTTTGTTCCTAGTAAGCATTAAATTGTATCTTCTGCTATTGTTATTATTTACAAAGAATCTCAAGTATTCACAATAAATATGAGAAGGTTAATTAATCTACAGCTGTGCACATGCAGACTTTCTCTTCCTCCTGTCTCATCCCTAGTGTGTTTAAATTTTAGCTGTTGAAATTCTAATCAAAGAACTTTGCACGCAGCATGTTAAATATATACACACAAAAACACACACTATACTCACAGGGATATACCACTAAAAGGGGCTCAGTTATGCATTGTTTTGTAAGATAGTGTTTTATCTTTCAGAAAAATACTGCATTATATTTAAAGGTACAAATAGAATTACTAATTAAACAACAGATTACTTTAATGATTATTTTCTAGACAAGGATTCAAAAACTATGTAGAAATGAGAGGAGAGTAGAAATGCATTTGCCAAAAAAAAATCCCAGGATGAGACTGCCCTCTAGCGGTCAACTCAATCACACTGTCTGAGAAAATAAATAACTAAGTACACCTGATTAAAATATGCAGACTTAATTGTTGGATCTAGTGTTACTAAAAAGAACTGTTTGAATTAATTATGGTAAATAAAGAACTTTATTTTCCAACCAAGGCTATCAGAAAAATGTCTCCTAGGAACTTTGATAGGAAAAAATGTAGATTGGAATAATGTTTAAAGACTTTGCGTAAATCTAAATAAATTTAGTATCTAGAATCCATGCTTAGAATTATAATTCAACATTCAAACACATTTTCAACTTTGAGTATTTGTACCCATGGAGGATCAACACAATTAAATTTTAGCAAAATATTTTGGAATATGCAGTTTATTTTTTTATTAAAAGGCAACATGCAGCCAAGCTTACCTGTAACAGCTAAAACAGGTTTCTCAAAGCAACTTAAAGTTCCTCTTTCTGCTACACTAAATAGACACATCAGATAATGATGAAAAGACTTGAGGCCTCTGATTATTGTTGTTGTGTTAAGTTTTTCAACAAACACTTCTTTTGATTTATTGTTTTCAATATCCAAAATAGTTACAAGATAATGATGGAAAAATACAGACTCTGGAGGATCCCACTGTAAAAATATCTCCGTTGGGGTGGCATGCATAACTCTTAAATTTGAGGCTGATAAAGGGCCTGGGAGACAATAAAATAAAATAATACATTGTATTAGTGATATGATTTGGCAGAATAATCTCTCCCTTCTCAGTATTTCCAAATACTTCAGCTTGGAGAGGAAAGGAAAACTGGGTTTGAGTCCTGTCTTTTCCACTTTCTAGTGCAAATTCCCTGAGCAAATTAATCACTTTCTCTAAGCCTCAGTTTTCTTGACCGTGAAATGGGAATGATAGTAGTAGTTGCCTCATAAAACTTTCATGAAGATTAAATAAGGGATGTAAGCACTTGGCATAGTGTTTTACACACACTATTGTTCCATAATTATTTTTATTATCCTCACCATCAAAATGACATATATGACTTTATTATGTATGTCTTTTACCTCTTCTGCCTTGTCATACTCAAGGGCAGAGACCATGTTATTCACCTTTCATTCCCATTATCACTTGCACTCAGGCACTCACCATCTTACAGGACTTTCTCCCCACTCCAAACCATTTCACTCAGTGTCAGTGATTTTCCTAATTAATGCTTCCAGATTAATATTCTTTAAACACTGCCTTGTACATATCAGCCTCAAACCCATATCTGTCCCCCGCATCCCCAACACATAGACATGCACATACATTTTTCTTGATTCTTCCTTTAGGAGCAACAGCTCAACAGTTAAAATAAGGACCATCTGGCTTCCTGTGTGGCTTTGCTACTTAACAAAGCATGCTGCTCTAGTCAGTTTACTTAACCTTTATGAAACTGTTTTCTCATTTCTATATAGCTACTCCCAGGATTGAGGCAAGGACTGAATGAGATAATGCGTTAAAAGCATTTTGTAAAATGTAAAACAAGTGTTAGTCTTAATAGAATTCCATTCCTTCTAAGGTAAAATGCAACCCTCTGAGACACACCCCTGGCATTCCCTCTCAAATTGATTTTACCCACATGGCCGAGGAAATCCTCTTCTCCAATCAGTCTGCACAATTCCTCTTTCACAAATTCTTACCTCTACACTTTTACTTACAACATGCTTTTCTTCCTTCAAGTTTGAGTCTATGCCTCTCCTTTCCACAAGTTTTCCTGTCACCCAGCATGTGGATTCTAGTAAGTATTTATTAAACGCACTGTTGGTTGGGCATTTAGGTTATTATATTTTGCTATCTAGTTTTGTTTGCTTTTATTTTCATTCCTTACTAGTTCCCTCCATTGTGAAACTCTTAAAGACAAGGATGCATAACTTCATCTCCTGTTCTTAGCACATATCAGAAATTTAGTTCCACAAAAATTTATTGATCATTTCTTATGGGCTAGACACCAGGCTAGCTGGTGCTATATGAAAATAAGATATAATTCCTGCCCTCATGGCACTTACAATTTAACAAAAAATCCAAACACATCAACAGATTCATTATAATTTAAAACGATTAAAGATATAGGTATGGCCAGAGTGTTATGAGAAAATACCAGATCCTCAGAAAATACCTGCAAATGACAGTATTAAATATTTGAAAATTTATATTTTCAGATGTCTTGTAACTTACGTGTTTCTACAATGAATACTGGACTTAAAATAGTTTTTGCCTCCCATTCATTTATTGCAAAGAGTAAAAATGAATAACTATGACCAGGAAACAGATGGGTAATCACTTTTTCTTTAGTATTTGGGGGCACACTTTCAAAGTGTTGTTCTTCTGTATAATTGAAATAATATTTAATGATAATCTTATATCCCAGTTTCAGCCACTTATTCAAATTATTCCAAACATTGAAATTATTCCAACTAAATACAACTTCAGTTGTTCCAACATTTTTTATATAAAACAAAAAGTTTTCCTGTGGAGAAGGTACTGAAAAAATATAAAAGAGAATTATTTTTAATTAGAAATTATAATTCCATAATAAAAATAAAATAAAAAATGAAAAAGAATAAAATAAAATAAACCAAAAGTAAATAACAAAGAATAAGATGCATGAATATAAGAAAGAATATTACTAAAAATAATTACATTCATATTCACAAATATATGGCAATGGAACATAACAGAAAAATCTTCTAAAGAAATAGTTTGATCCAGTTGCATTTTGCTGTAAAATGTAGCAATCTGTTTCATTCTTGGGTGTCAATGATAAAGAAAATATTTCATTTTTCTTAAGGCCAAAAGATGATCCATCTGTCCATTTGAGATGACCTCGTTTCTGTAATAAGATGCACAAATTAAGCTAATTAAAAAGAAATATGTCACATCTTCAGTCACTGCATTTGAAATATATATATTTGAAGATTTGTCACACCTTCATTATAAAATGATTAGTCACACCTTCATTATAAAATTTTCTAAGATTTTTAAATCATCAATGAATTTCATATTTTTATATAGATTTCCTTCATAATGAAGAAGCTGGAGACAGAGTTCAATGTCATTCATTCATTAGCCATATGTTTTCAGGCAAATTGCTTGAATCTCATACTAAGCCTCTATTTTCTCATCTATAAAATAAGTCTAATAATAGAACCTACATTTTATGATAGTTGTGATGATTTAAGAGGCAGTGCATTCAAAGGGCTCAATACTAAAGGCATAAAGCAATTATTTATTAAATGTTACTTATTTTATTTGAAGTCATCAAATAATTTGCATATATCAGGAGAGGTTGTTGATATCTTTCTGCTAAGGGATGGCCTTGGTGAATGTCACCAACCCGAATTCCTGCAAGTAATGAATATCTCTCTTTGAAAATAGTAGTAAGGAAAGCTTTGACAAAATGCACCTTGATTCTTATCAAATTTCTGCAACTTACTATTTATTCTTGGCAATTTCTCATCTCTTAGAAACTAAATTTCCCCACCTGTACAAAAGAGAAAACCATGACTACTTTGCATGGTTGTCAATAGGCTTATAGAGAGTATATATGTAAAACACCAAGTGTATATCAGCTCCTTAAAAAATAAATACAATTCTTATAAAGAGAATAATATGAAAACAGACACTATGTCTGTATTGGGGTTATCATACCATCCCCCAAATCAAGCACAGCACCAGCCCCGTTGCATGGGTGGGGATTGAGAACTGCTCACTCTAGATATTCGAAAGAGATTTTAATACATTCCAATTCCACCTAACAGAATGGATGACTACCGTTTCCTCAAAAAGTCTGCTTTACTGCATATGTGGTGGTATAGTTTTGAAAACAAGTGTAGGTTCAGAGGCAGTATTTCAAGTGGTTAAGGCATGAAAGTTGGTCAGACAGACACAGGTTTAAGATCTGGCATGGCCATTTATGAGCTATGTGCCTTGTCTTTCTGAGATCCGTTTTCCTTATATAAAATAGAAATACTGTTAGTGCCTGCTAAACCTATAAGGTTGTTGTGAGATCCAAATGAAGGTTAACTATATAGCCCTCCCCAAAGGGAAGAAAAAGATTATTAATCTTTCATTCACTAAGTTCCTGCTGAGTACCCAGATTGAAGCTAGGAATGCAATGATGAATAAGACACAGTCTTTATCCGTGAAGCCCAGTAGCAAATTCACACTTATTCAGCACATATTTGCTTCAAGGAGTGATTACTTTCTCAACCTACTATGGGAATTATGACAGAGCAGGTAACTTTGATGTCAACCTCAAAAAACCAGCTTAAGGTAGAGGTCAAAGAGTTTAGGGTTTAGAATAGACTCCAATGCACATCTATACGGGCAAGCTAATCTCCCTGTGCCCCAATTTCCTCATATGTCATACAAGTAAAGCACATAAATGGTGGTTAGCGTTCAGGAGGCACTACAGGACTCAGCTATTATTATAAAGGCATATTTTATAGTTACTTTGATGTTTCCTTTAGCTCTCAAATTATTTTTAAGTATCATGAAGGCAGAGACTGTATCTTGTCTAATTCATAGCAACCCCAAGGATCCCTTGTGAGCGACCTGAACCTTATAACAGAAACCGGTAACCATAACTGATGGAAGAGTACATTCTAACTTAACCCTTTGCACTCGCTTGCTTTTTTCTCGATTCCTTTATTCTACTCAGGATTTAATTTTTTAAATACCCCAGATTTTACAAAGCGCGGGAGTAGAATAAAAAACTGGTGTTTCTTTTCATACAAACTTATTTATTTGGATTTTTTTATGTTTCGAATTATTGATACATTCAAAGAGTAATTTTAATCTCTATAATTTTTGCTAACCGTGTCGAGTCACACTCAACATGTGAGTGCAAAGGGTTAAATGGTTTATAACAATCATGCTAATATTAAGAAACAACTGTATATATACTAACTGGTCTAACTGGCCTAGTTTGTGGGAAGGAGGAATCCAAGATGAACTGTGGTTTAAGAAATGTTTATTAGAACTTCACTCATTGCCTATTAAAAGATAAAGAAAACTCAATAAGAAAGTGATAAAAATGTAATTAAATATTGCCCAGAGTTTTTCCCAAGCTTACTTAAAGTTTCGCAGAAAATTCGGTATCAAATCGATAGGATTTGCCTTGGGTCACTACAGATAAGGATATCTCGTGGGGAACAAATTTATCTTTGAGTACCAGGAAATAAAAGAAAATGGATCATCCAGAAGAAACATAGAACTGACAAAGATAACTATGTTATATCTTGGGTTTTTCTATAAAATGCTGGCCAAAATGAAATTTCATGAGACATTATAAAGTGTAAGAAATGTTATAGAAAAATACTACACACTCCTTATTTCATTAGTATTACATAAAATCTTCAGATCTTCTGTATCTCTTTAGTAAAATTGTGCTTCACAAGCTTGGATGTGTGTAGTCAAAGGAATAAAATGGAGAAAACGTCCATGTTTTGGGGTTTGCACTATGGTATTGTTTGCAGAGGTGAGAAATATAAAAGGTGGTACAGGTTTGATGTGAGAGAGATGACAAGGTCAGTCTTGGCAATGTTAAAGCATCTGTAGGAAAAGCCAGAGGGATAATCAGAAGAAAATTAATGTATGTCTAAACTCATAAGAAGAAAGTGATCTCGATAAAGATTTGAAAATAATCAGTTTAGGTGATAAATTAGGCAAAGAAAGTAATGAGATCACACAAATGAACTTAGGACAGGCATGGGAAAGACCAAAATTAAAGCAAAATTAGGTAAAGAAACAGATGCCTACAAAAGGACTGAAATGGAATTTCTACAGAAAGAGAAAGAGAAATAGTGGCTGGCTTATAAGAAGTATTCAATAAATATTTATTGAATTAATGAAGTAAGAAAGGAATCAATGAATAAAGAATGAATAAATGAACATAGGTAAAAAAACGTTTCACTTGTCATAATATATATATTTCTTTGTATTTACTGACCTTTATATCACTAAGACCAGTCCATATTATTTTTTGATTGTTTGACCTGAGATGTGAATATATAAAATGTTTTTCCTCTTCATTTTTTATGTCTACAAGATGCGCAGAATTTAAGGATAACTGACAATGTTGCTTGGCTATATTCCATGGCTTACTCTCATTGCTAATTCTATAACAGTTATTTTTTAATGCCACCCATCCTTGTGAACATGAACCTAGCAAAAGAAAAGTGCTTTGTTACAGATGAATTCAGTAATATAAACATTTCAAAATTATACCTCTTAACATATATGAAAGTAAACTGTGAAAACATCATAGTATTAAATGTGTACTTTCCCTATACTTCTCCCAAACCAGTAAAAATATTAAAGCCATTATTGAAAAAGTAGTAAATAAATTACCACCAATTAAAATGTTTTTAAAATAACTATAAGAATTGGTTATATAGAATTATCGTCCAATTATAACTTCATTAAAATAAAAACCACAAATAATTTTATTGCTAAAGGAAATCTTACCTTAGGTTGCCTTTCCTTTTCTTTTGTACTAGTAGAAAATTTTTTAATAGATTTTGGGTGATTTTTTAAAAATTTTAGAGTACTAAAAACAATTCTTGCTAAGCATTCTACTCTCAGTCACTTGACTTTAAAAGTGTTCACCTTCCAGAAAAAGCTGGAATGGCTTCTTAGTTTTATTCTCCAAGATATCTCCAAGATATTCACTACAGATAGACCAGAGAAAATATCAGCTGATTCAGAGAAGATATTTCACATTAACTTATGTTGATAGCTCACCAGTGCCTCAACCTAGCATATGAGGAAGATGTGAGAATGATCATTTGAAGAAACTGTTGTCTTGTTTTTTCACAGGGGAAGGAAGATGGGTAGAAGGGATACTTTAATTACCCTACCATCTTTTTCTTACTATTTGAGTATTTCTATGCTTCACTTGTACTATAGATGTATTGTGGTTTACTGATTATTTAAACCCTGTAGAGGGTATTAAAATGGGATGCTTAGGCCAACACACAGAATCATCAAGCCCTCTATGATTCTGTCCTCTTCTCTTATACCTGTTTCCAACATGTAGGGGAAGGACATGAAAAGAGAAAGACCAGACCAAAAAATTGAAAACTTTCCCCTTTCCCCCTGAAATTTTCTAAACTTTCATCAGGTCTGATCAGAGATGAATAATGGAGAAGCTTTAAATAGTATGAAAGATTTATGTTTATAATACATCATAATGGACCTATGCCCCAAATAAGGGACCTTAGGTAAGTAAGTATGAATTGTCTGATTTCCTTATAAGTACTAAATTTGACAGTTCTCTCTCTGACATTTCACTTTGGCACTTCATTTTATTTTTATTGTGAAGGTACATACATCTTCAGTCTTGTAAACACACATTGTGGCTTGTGATTATCTTTCAAATTTTTTTGTAGAACAATTTTTGTGAAACTATGGATAAGTCAAAAATTCATATTATTTTTGAATACAAGTTCCATGGTGGAACCAATGCAGCACAGACAGCTCAAAATAGCAACAAAGTGTTTGGGAAGGATGTGGATAATGAACACACAGTACGTTGATCGTTTGAGAAGTTCTGGTGATTTTAATTTTGAAAATGAGCCACATGGAAGATGGGAATCAAAGGTGGATAATGATGAGCTGAAAGCTGTAGTGGAAGTGAATCCATCTCAACATAGGCCTGAATTAGCAGCAAGGTTTGATGTTACTATTCCAACAACATTGGATCATTTGAAACAGATCAGCAAGGTAAAGAAACTGGACAGATGAGTTCCTCATGAATTAAATGAGCACTGGAAAAGAAATCCTCTCAAAGCTTGCCTTTCTTTGCTGTCATTACATAAAGGCAAACTACTTCTACACCGCATTATTATGTGTGATGGAAAATGGATTCTTTTTGACAATCACAAAAATTCGAAACAATGCTTGAATGAAGATGAAATGCTGACACACAGTCCAAAACTGAATATTCATCAAAAAAAGCTAATGGTGTCTGGTGGTCCAGCACTGGTATTATCTACAGCTTCATAAAACCTGGTCAATCCACTATAGAAAATGTCTCCTGCAACCAGTTGGATGAAATGATGAAGATGCTTGCAATTAAGCAGCTCAGATTGGTCAACAGAGACAGGCCAATCCTCTTGCAAGACAATGCTAGACCACATGTCCCACAAACAATGCTGCTCAAACTACAGAAACTGGACTTGGAAACTGTCTGACATCCACCGTATTCACTAGACTTTGCACCAACTGGCTACCATTTCTTCCGCGCTTTGTAACACTTCTTACAAGAAAAAAATATTCAATTCTCAACAAGCTGTGGAAAATGCCTCTGGCAATTTCATTGCCACTTGGTCTCCAAGCTTCTTTGCTCCTGGCATAAACAAGCTACTGTTAAGATGGCAAAACCGTGTCAACAGTTTACACATATACTTTGATTAATTATACTCCTTCTTGTTTGAGATATAATAAACTACACTTCTGATTTGGAATCAGACATTTCATATTTAATGACCCAATAATATCTGAAAATGAGACTGTCCATTGATACTTTATTATTATTATTTTTTAGAGATGGGGTCTTGTTTTTTTGTCCAGGCTGCTCTCAAACTCATGATCTCAAGGTATCCTTTCTCCCTGGCCTCCCAAAGTTCTGGGATTACAGGTATAAGTCACTGCACCTGGCCCCATTGGTACTTTAGTCACCCAAAGAGCTATGGAATCTATATGAGTCATTGCCAGAGTTAAGGAAAAAGATAATCAATCCACTTGATACAATTTTTTTTTTCAAAATATTACAGGGTACAAATGTTTTGGTTACATTTGTAACCAAATTGCTTTTGTAATGCTTCAATCAGGGTTAAAAGTGTGCCCGTCACCCAGACAGTGTTCATTGTACCCATTAGGTAGGTTTCCATCCATCCCCTCATCCGCCCCCCTTGCTGCTTGATTTCCATTGAGTTTTACTTCCCTCTATGTGCAAGTGTGCTCATCAGTTAGTTCCAATTTAATAAGTGAGTAAATGAAATTAAAAACAAGAAAATATTACAGAAGATCAATGAAAAAAATGTTGGTTCTTTGAAAAGATAAACAAAATCGACAGACCCCTTGCTAGATTAAGTAGGAATGAAAGAGAAAGGATCCAAATAAGCTCAATCAGAAATGAAAAAGGAGATATTAAAACTGATATCAATTCAGTTTGCTAGTATTTTATTGAGCAAAGAAATACAAAATATCTTCTGTGAATAGTATGAAAATCTCTATGTAGATAAACTCAAAAATGCAAAAAAATAGAAGAAATGGACAAATATTTGGAAACACACAACCTCACAACCTTCTAAGACAATAGAACTCCTGAACATATCAATAATGATCAATAATATTAAGGCAGCAATAAAAAAAATCTTCCAACAATAAAAAAGCCCCAGACCAGATGGATTCACAGCCAAATTTTATCAGACCTACAAAGAAGAGTTGGTACCCATACTACAGAAATTATTTCATAACATTGAGAAGGAGGGAATCCTCCCCAACTCATGCAACAAAGCCAGTATCACCTTAATAGCAAAGCCACGAAAGGACACAACAAAAAAAGAAAACTACAGACCAATATCCCTTATGAATATATATGTAAAACACCTCAATAAAATACTAGCAAACTGAATTCAACAGCACAGCAAAAAAATAATCTACCACTTGATACAATTTAAAGGAATTGTTGGGAAGAAAATAAAGTTGGTAAGTTGGTTGTTACCTTTACCCTGTTAAGTCCAGCTTATTCAATAAATCAGTCAAATATCCAAATGATATAGTTAGGAAAAGGAGACTATGCTAATTCATTTATTATTAGTTTGCAGTGATTAATAGTTGGCTAGACCACTTTCAAAAAGAACAATACAACTGCCAAATTATCTACAAAGTATACATTAATTAATAAACCAAAGGTCTATATACCTGTTTCAACTTGAACATCCAGTCTCTGAAATATATTTATTAAATCCAAATTCAACTGTTTAAATTCAAATGTAAACACATACAAGGTCACAGGTTTCAAATTACTCCACTCATAAACCATAACATTATTTTGCATTATTTGTGAAGAATTATTAAGAGATATTGACACAGCTATATCTTTGGAAGAAAGTACACTCCAGTTAAAAGAAACACTTGTACTTGTTGTTATTATTTTAATATTGCTAGTTGAGATTCCACCTAAAAAACCAGGGAGAATAATTATTACTGATTCAAATACAACTGAATGAAAACAAAAGATACTGAATTATAAAAGATTCAGGACATATTATTAACATATTATTAATATGTACCCATAAAATATTTTCTAGACTATTTAGGAGTTTTTTCTACTCTAGAATGAATGAATTAGATTATAAATCCACATTATATTTTTTACATAATCTGGATTACACTTAAAATCTCTACTATACCTATCCATTCATACTGGTACATATCAAATGCCTGAAAATTATATTCTTAACTTAGTTTATAGTTTTCTTAATTTTGAAAGCTACATTATATTTAAAAAATTACTATCATGATGTAATTTTGGAGTATTGTTATATACCTGTTAATCACTGTGAAATTCAAATTATCTAGTAATAAAAATTTACCTTTTATTATTAGCTAATGTAATTGATATAGCTGATTAACACATACATATTACTTACGGGTTTGAAATGACTTTTCACTTAAAATTTTTCCACATTTTATGGACTGAATAATGATGTGATAGTCTTTATTTTCCTCTATTGTTATTATTGATTTCTGAAGCTTTTGTGGGTTTGTGAGAATACTTTTTACATTCTGTAAATAATCAGATTTATATGCTTAATAAATGTTTATTGAACATTAATCTCTATGTCAGAACATTAATTAAAAGTTTTTTTGTACATCTCTTTCATAAGAAGCAGTTTTTCAATATAGAATATAAACATATACATGAAATATTAATTTTTACATAAATGACATTACTTTTAAAATAATCTCTTTTGGTATATAAATTTTTAAAAGGCAAATACATAGCCATTGCTATAAAAAGTTAAATATTAATTTGATCAACTGTTTACCAAAAATATTTCCAAAAATGTTAGCATTTTACATATTAATTAAATAAAAAGACTAAAAAATATTAAATTCCTATTTATTATATGGCATTAAGTAAAAATAAATTTGCACTATGCTTACTTTTCATCAGAACCAACAAAAGATTCCTTACTTTTTGAGCAATATCATTAACAAGTTGATAAGTTAAAAAATAAAATTCAGGATTTCCTTCCTTAGGAAATTCATCCCATTCAATAAAAACTTCTGTTGTATGTTTATTCACTGGTATATAATGGAAACTTTTTGAGATCTGAAATAGGAAAGACAAATAACTGTAAGACTAGTAAAAATGTATTCTTGGTTTTTATTTCATGAGCAACTTTATAAAAATGACACCTAAAATATGTCAAATTTTAATTTTAAAACAGTTCAGGAATATCAGTTTTAGATAGGAATTGCTATGGGTTACTCTATAAATGTAACTTTGAAAATGACTTAAGAAAGGCAAGTAAAATAGGAGCTAGAAAATTTAAGATCCATGTTTCTCTAACTAGGAAACATGGTGTTCCTGGGGTCATGAAGGAGGAAGAAACTCAAAGTCCTAATAAAAACAAAGAAGGGTCAATTGTGTACCTTGGTGATAACGTCTACAAAACTGAATTGTTTCACAGACATGCTTGAAAACATATTTGCAAAAGAAAATATATTTGGGTACAAAATGTTTGACTCTGAGTCATTTTAGATCCTTTGATCATTTATATGTAATGAAAGTATTAGCAAACAGGGTAAAATCGACCAGAAGATGAGAGACCTTATGTTCCTTAAATGACAAAAAAGACTTCGATTCTCAAGAGAATGACATACATATCAAAATTTCTACCAAAAGACAACCTTGAAATGCCTTAATATACCATGTCTTTTACTAAAGTCTGATCTCTTTCTTGATGATTATCCCCAATAAAATCTGTAAGCAATGAAAGCAGAAACCATTTGTATGTACATATGTGTGCAACACTTAGCAAAGAAAAATTTTCTTAGGTACCAAACTTTATAGTTAATATTATTTCCCTTCAATATACCCTTCATTTTCCAGAATGATAGACTCAATGCAATCTCATCCTGCCCATTAGCAAATTATTCCAAAAGGAGCACACTCAAAAATGTCTTACCTTAACAATATATTGTAACCAGAGCAGTATAGTTAATTTCTTCATCTGGAAAGTAAAGTTTATTCAGTTCAGTTAAATCTGTATATTTTTAGCTTCAAAATTAAACTATTGCAAATTCTTTAGGTGATGTGTGCATGTGTATAACTTTAATGTCATATCTTTTCAATTTAGACTGTTCATCCAACTGAATTAATTATTAAGGCATTAATAAGTAGGTGCTGTATAATATTCTCCACGTAATAAAATTGGAAACAGTACTTTACAACAAATAACACATGAATTTGCTTCTAGAAACTGCATTAATTACCTATAAAAGAGTCGTTAGAGATAAAAGGAATTATCAGGCAATTACACAAAATTACATTGCATTATATGAAATTATTTAACCTCAATTGATGGAAATCTAGAACACCTACACACTGCTATTTATTAAAAGTAATTCCTCACATTTTAAAATTACACCATCATTATGAAAAATATTTCAAAATACTGTCGATGAAATTTAAACTTACATAGAAAAAATGTTCAAATGCCATTTCAACTCATTATAAAAATGTTTTCATCTAAAAAGCTTGTGTAGCATTTCTTCGGAATGTAGAGTCCCTAAAAGGACCTAAAAACTTTTACATTCAACTTAAGATATAAAGAAAAAAATGAATATCCATGTATTTTATATAAATTTATAAAACTGAAAATACCATTTTAAGAATAAAAAGGTACCCTGGATCATCTTAAAGCTCTTTAAAGCTCACTCCAAAGCAAGTTTCTTCCTACAAAATCCTCTTTAGTTCTTATTAAGCAGGTGTTTGCCTCAGATAAAATGCAACTCAGTTAAAAAGAAATACCTAAGCATTAAATACACAAACTCTTGCACAAAACTGCAAAACTTTAACCTTGTTCATTTTTCCAAGCAATCTGACGTAAGTGTTCTACCCTCATGGTTATGGCATTAATTTCCCCCGTAAATCTAAGTGTAAATTAGAATTTTGAAGGCCTGGGTGCTATAATAAGAATGGGAAAGGTGGAAAGCTCCAGGCTGTCTGCTCAAATCCAAACTCCCGCTCAAATTCAATTCCATGAGTCACAGTGTTTGCACCCAGAGTGGAGAAATACAGAGTAGCTCTCCTGAGTCGCATTGTTTTAGAAATAGTACAAAACCCACTTTGACCAGTAGAGAGAAGAACATAGTAAAGGATTGAGGACTGGAGGGGAAAGGAGAGCAGAGACTTGCAAGACAGAGCTTGGAGGGTGCACAGCTGAGAAGCATGCAGGGGCCGCGAGGCGCCCACACCCCACACTCGGACGCAGACCTGGGCCTGGACCCCACCCGCAGCCGCTGCCCCCGCGCTTTGCATATTTTGCACGGGCTGCTGGCGGGCGGCGGGCGGCTGAGGCACAGAGGTGGCGCTGGGTGGGGATGCCGAGGCTGCCCAAGTCTCCCGCGTCACAACCCACCTCGAGGCCAGCCTCCCTTCTTCCTCTTCCTCTTGCTGTGCTCCAGCTCTTACCGCTACTGCTGCTACTGCTTGGGCGGTTTTTGCTCGGGCCAGCGATGCCCTTTCCCTGGGTTAATTAAATGAAGGTCTCCATGGAAACGGGAAGCAGAGAAGTGGGAGGAGAGTCCTACAACATTGATATGGGGAGGATAATTACTCTTTACTTGGAAGAAGGGAGGAAAGGGTAGAGCGATGAAGGAGAACGCGAGCAGGAAACATTGGCATCTCATGGCAAAAAGTGGACTACGTGATATGAATAGAATTGGGGCTTAAATCCATCCATGTGGCTTTGAAGCCACATTCTTTAATTGTTAAGGTGTTTGAGATTGTGTGTGCATTTTCTGCAGCATTTGACAGTACTGATTGTACTCCTAGATCTCCTAAGTTAGCTTCCCTGACATTACCCTCTCCTGGTTCTTCCATCTCCACATCAGTGTGTCCTCTAACACTGTGGTCCAAACCCCTGGGCTGCGCAGGTACAGGTGTGTGGCCTCTTAGGAAATGGGCTACGCATCACTGCCTGAGCTCTGCCTCTAGTCTGTGGAAAAATTGTCTTCCATGAAACCAGTTCCTGGTGCCAAAAAGGTTGGGGACCACTGAGAAAATTTCCAGCTTAAAAACTGACTTAACCCATGGTGCCCTCCTTGAGTCTGGGCTATTTCATCACACTTTTGTGATTTCAGCTATATTCAAGATTCTCAATCACTCCACCTTGGATTTTATTTTTTCCAGAGCTTCAGAGCAATATATACACCTCTGAAATGAGCATCTCCATCTGGATGCCCACCACAGGCAATTCAAAACCATCTTTTCAAACTAAATTCATGATCTTGCCTCTTCCAGCCCTTCATAAGCAGAGGATCATTTATTCAGCCCACCAACCAAAACACTGCCAGCTCATCATCTCCAGATCCTTTTCCTCACCACCCAGTGCCAATTTATCTTCAAAATCCCTTTGATTCTACTTCTAAAACAGCTCTTAGAATGATTACTTCTCCTCTATTACCATTGTCACAGACTTAATTGAAAACCTTAATTTCCTCTCTTTCTCTGGAATGCATGTGCCATATTTAAGAGATTGTGCCTCATGTCAGACCCTACAGCTTCACTGCTAGCTAAACATCTCTTTGAAAAGTTGGTTGTAGTGAAGAATGAGTAAGCTTGCAGCTTGCTTAGTAAAGTATAAATACTTAATAGAGAGATAACTATTACTGGTTTACTGCAGTTACTGCCAATAAACAAATGCTTGCACTGTGTGTCCTTGTTTGAAACCCTCAGTTTCTCCTATACAGTTAGCCAATGTGATCTGTCTGAAATAAAAGCATGATACAATACAATGAATATTACGTATTTACTTAAAAGCCTGTTCTGACTCTTACTGTTTATAATGTACCTCTCTCCAAATTTACTTTCAAACTTCAACTCTCTCCCCTCCAATTGTGACTTAACATTGTAAATTATGAAAAATATTTTTGGAAAGAGCAAATATAAATTTTAGCATGAGTCATATCACCAAAAAAACTCATGCACAATTTACAAGATTACTGTAACCTTTAGTCTGCCATTATCAAGTGTGGTTTTGCTTTGAACTCAGTGTCTTTTTCAGAGTTCTTTTTGATATACGTAAGGATCTTTCTAAATGTTTTACCCTTTAAAGAAGCCAAGATCCATCACATTCCAGAGTGTGGAAAACCATACTATTCTAAGGTTAAGATGAAAATGTACTTATGAATTAAAGACCAAAATTAGAATATGATTCCTTAAACCTGAAAAAAATGAATGGTACTGATTTTTGTCTTTGCTTTTCTCATTGTGCTTCCTGTTCTTGCAAATATTTATTAATGTCCTCTTTTAAAGAAGATATTTTACTCAAAATTTTCTCACAAAAATAACATTTTCATAAGCTGATATATAATCAAAGTTAGCCAGGTTTCTATAACTTTTTAAGGGAAAGCCATTGTTCATAAAATTCATAAGCCTTATTTTGTTGGCATGAATTATAAGAGAAAGAAAATAAAAGGGATTAATAGCATCTTTTCATCAGTATTTGGTTTCCTAAATGTGATGCCAAAAGTTTTTTTGTTGTTGTTCTGTAATTAGACTTGGCCTTTTCTACAATGCAAAATTTCCTAAAAATTTATGGTATTATCTTTCTAACATATTCCTTTATACAGTATAAAATAGTTATTACAACAGATCTTTTATGAAAATATATTCAATCTACCAAATTAATCCAAATTAATTTACTTTGAAAGTGTTACTGGCCTCACTTCAAAATCTAAGATTAAAACTTGGATTTATCTATATCCCTTGGTGTGGGTTAAAATGCAAATTTCATGTTAAGAATTGGGACTAAACAAAAAGGATTTTCTTGTGTGGGGTGGGGGTAGCTATGAAGTAATGTAGTTCTAGTCCATTAAGTTTATAGCTTTCTTGATAGATTTGTTAGAGAGTATGCCAGAACAGGCAGGAATTTATTTAAGAGATTATCAGCACATTTAACACATTTAATTAATTAATTCAGTTTATAAACATTTACTGAGAAATTTTGATGAAAGTATCTTGGACACAGAACAGGAAAGAAGAGACAGAGCAAAACCCTGTGTAACTGCAAAGGCTTTATATCCAGAGGGGAATATTCATTATCCTTAGACTTTGAAATGTCAGAGACAAAGAAGAGGACAACAGAAGACAACCGAGCTCTGTGAGCTCACTGGAATTGGCAATGACCCTGGCAGGTCTAAGCATAATACCCTAACTCCTATAGTAGGCAAAATTCTAAAGTGAAGACACCTAAGATTCCCAACCTTAGTATTCACACTCTGTATAATTTTCTTCCCTTGAAGGTGGGTGGGACCTGTGAATATAATGGGATAGTTGTTTCCATGATTTTGTCGTTTTTTAAGACTTCACTGTAGCAGAGTAAGAAAGGAATTCTCCTGCTGGCTTTGGAGAAGTCAGCTGCCATGATGTCAGAGGACCAAGTGGTTAGGACATGAACATGGCCTCTAGTAGCTGAGAGTGTGCCCCAGCTGACAGCCTGCAAGAAAATGAGGATTTCAGTCCTACAATCACAAAGAACTTAATTCTGCCAACAACATAAATGAGCCCCCAGAACAAGGACTTGAAACCTCAGATGAGACTGCAGTCCCAGCCAACAATCTTAACTTCAGCCTGGGATACCCTGAGCAAAAAAAAACCCACCCACTAACTTGTATCCAAACTCCTGACACACTGAAACTGTGACATAATAAATGTGCTTTGTTTTAAGCAAGCAAATTTGTAGTAATTGGTTTCAAATCAATAGAAAACTAATACACGCCCACAGCCACTGTGATTGGCCAATCATTGCACAGGATTTTTGAACCAGTGCCCAGAGATAGATGCCCTCTCTTTTTTGTTGACAACCGCAATAAAGGTTGTTGCCTCAAAGCCTCAGTGGCCATATGCAAAGTTCCAGTGGCCAAAGTTGCACATGGAAGAACCAGCAATGTTGGTTCCTCCAGCATTGGAGGAGAAAACAAAGCTGGCAGAGCAAGTGAAGCAGAGATTAATGCATTCAAGTCCCAGCATTTCATTGACTCCTGTCTATCTCAAGGTTTAGTTATTGTTAGAGGGAAATGTTTATCTAAAATTCTTTGAAGGATATCTCTTGGAGTGACATTCATGCTGCAGCTACTACCTTCCCTGGGTAAGTAGGTAACATAGTTGGAATTTGAACTCAGTCTAGTTCTAGACTCTGGGCTCCTTACCATTAATTACATAAAGAGGTATAGAATCTCCTTACCAATTGATTAAATAATTAATTTCCTCTTCTTTTGATATAATTTAGACCAGTTGCTGCTAGAGCAAGGAAATGAATATAAATACAACTAAAGATATTCAGGTACTACTTTTACGATGCAGTCTATTATATTTATAGCCTATGAACTTATTCTAAAATTAAGAAATGCTTTTCTAAATGTGTATTTTAATGTACCATTCTTAACATAAAATAATCCTTATATATTTTATTATGCATTTATTGTCCTAATAGTATAGTCAGCTTATTTCCTGAAAAGTCTGTTGTAAAATTTCATGGTTCTTTTGTATAATGTTGATATTTGAATCTCAGAGTTTGTACTTTTCCAAAATAAAACAAGTAATAAGACTTAACAAAAAAGTACACTATATAAATTACAAATTATATAGTTCTCATGCAAAGAGCCAAAAAATAAATGTTCATCACAAGTAAGAACACGGCACTGTGCTCCATTTCAACTATGTATGCCACACAGATATGCAGCACATCTATGTTATTTTCACCAAAATCAAGCTGCTGAATATGGTCAGTTTTTGTCATTGTCAATATTTTCTAATAATCTGAAGTGAAGTGAAACAATTACGAAGTTGGCAAATTTTAAAAGGCAAGTGGGAGTTTCTCTTTTAAATACAAACAAGCATTATTATCTTCAAATATGGGCCACAAATTCCACATAAATTACAATGTAGCCTCCTTTTCTCAAGCTAACCAGTTTCTTGATTTCTATAAAGTGTTAACAATATTTGTTTGAGATTGATATCATTCAAAATAGCTAATACCAAAGAAAAAATATTTTTAAATGAGTAGAATTGTTTATACATTGTGTAAGTACTAAAATTTATACTTTGGTGTGTTTGGGTTTTTTAATCTCTTAAAATTCTTCACTATCTCTTTAAAAATAAAACAAAACAAAATCCATTGTTTTTCAGATTCCAAAATAAGCATTTTTGTATTGAAGAGAATTTGGAAAATATATACAAGAAAGAGAAATTCACCCATAATTCACCCATGATCTCATAAGCCTAAAATAGCCAGTGTTGAACATATTTATGTATTTCTTACCAAGATATTTTCTGTGCAATGTACATATATCTTTTTTAAACAAGATTGGAATTATATAGTTGTATGTCTTATTTTCTTCACACATTTTGTGTCAGAGAATATTTGAAAATACAATTTTGAATTATGCATAATAATTCAAGTTATAAATTTGACAGTTTATATAATAACGACACTCTAGAATTATAGAATATTTGTTTCCAAATTTTTGATATGATAATATTTAAATGGGTCTTCAAATTTAAAATTGTGCATTACCAACACTCCTTAAGGTATAATTAACTAATGTTTCTTTAAACATTGAAAAATAGAAACCTTGAAAAACAAAATCATGAACTAAAATTGTTAAACAGAATAAAACTGAATTCAGAAGAAAATCTGTAAAATAGAGAAAAGTCTATGAGGAATAGCAAAAGGAGACAGCTTACATATCTGGCATTTCTCATTCTTTTCTTTTGTTTTTGTGTTTTAAGAGTCTCACTCTGTTGCCTGGGCTAGAGTGCCGAGGCGTCAGCCTAGATCACAGCAACCTCAAACTCCTGGGCTCAAGCAATCCTCCTGCCTCAGCCTCCCCAGTAGCTGGAACTATAGGCATGTGCCACTATGCACGGCTAATTATAAATATATACATATATTTTTTTTTTTTTTTTTGTCGCTCTTTTTTTTTTCTTTTTTTTTAGATATACAAATTTTTTTGTGTTGTTTTTTTGTTTTTTTTTTTTTCCACCAACCATTCGGGTTTTTTTTTTTGTTTTTTTTTTTTCCACCTTGCCTTGTTAACCGTTTAAAAGACTTTACTGATTTAATAAGACGGCATATTGTAGGGGATTTTTGTGGGGCGAGCGGGGAGACAGAGTCTTGCTCTATCATCCCAGCTAGAATGCAGTGGCAGCAACATAGCTCACAGCAACTCAAACTCCTGGGCTCAAGCGATCCTCCTGCCTCAGCCTCCCTAGTAGCTGGGACTACAGTGGCGCCACTCTGCCCAGCTAATTTTTCTGTTTTTTGTGGAAATGGGGTCTCTCTCTCTTGCTTAGGCTGGTCTCGAACTCCTAACCTCAAGCGATCCTCCCTCTGCAGTCTCCCAGAGTGCTAGGATCACCGGCGTGTATTTCTGAGCCTATGAGGTAACGGATGTGTATGCACACACCCAATGTTGACTGATTTAAGGGAAGTGAGGTGAGGCAAGGGAGGGAAAAGGCAAATGCCGGTCAGATTGTTAGCAGGCCACAGCTCACGTACAGCCATCTGGAAAGGCCAGTGAACCACTGCATCGTGGCGCGGGCGGGCGCTGGGAGCGAGGAGCGACAGGGAGCCATGTACCTGCTGGATCCTGGGCCCGTAACTCCCCTGTCAGAGTTCACCTCACAGGGGATGAATTCTTCCTCTCTTTCAGGCTGCATTACCCAGTTCATCAGGGCACTCATGGGAGCACGTGTTTCTTCCAGGCCTGGAAGTGATGGGGGAAGCCAGAGCTCCCTCCCGTGGCAGGCCCTGGGGAGGGAAGGAGCCCTTCCTCCCACAAAGCGAGACCGCGATCACAGAAGGCCAAGCAGGCCAGTGGCCGGGACCGGGCCTGCTGCGCATGTGCCGCGCTGTTCCCGCCCAGCTGCGTGGGCTGCCCGGGCGGAGCTACCACCAGGGCGGAAGTGGTCGGGCGCTTCCGGGGCTGAAACGCGAGCCTGCGTCTGAGCAGATCTGTGCATGGCCGCAACGGGAGGGGCGCACACGTGGAGTCCAAGTTATCACCTACCAATCACCTTTCAGTCACCCCACTATGGCTTTTGTCTGTAATAAGAAACACCAATTTCCATAAATTCAAAGACACTTCATCAGCATTTGACAGACTGTAACTCCAGTCCCTTGTGTGACCTTGTATTCCCTTGGTTCAATGATCCCCATCAAGGCTGTAGGTTTTACTTCAATTTCCATGGCCATTCTTTCTCAGCCTCCTTCCCTGCCTGTTCTTTTTCGATATGAGCTTTCAGATGTCAGAGGTCTCAGGATTCAATCTTGGGTCCTATTTTGATCTTACTATATCTCACCCTAGCTAACTTCTCTCATTCTCATAGTTTCATACTATTTGCATGTTAACAAATCCTAAAGATATTTTCAACAGAGGCTACTGGTCTTGACACCAGACCAGTAGAAATAGCCACATACTAAAAACTTCACATAGTTGTCCAATCAGCCATATCTACGTGCCCAGAATCGGATTCTAAACCTCCTCCCCAACCTTCACCCATCCCCCAGCCCCTGCCAAATTCTCCTTTCTCTCCTAGGTCCCCAACCTCCGTCCATTCAGTTGCTCATCCAACTCAGAGGCATTCTCCAAATACTTTTCTGTATAATAGTGATTACCAAGTCTTCTTGAAATTACATCCAAAATATATCTTATACATTACAATTTCTTCCATCTGTCCCATCACTGCCATTTCTCAGCTATTCTATAGCTATAGCATCTGACCAGTCTCTTTGCTTATTATTTGATTTCCTGGTCCATCTCACCCATCCCATCCTGTACCAGCCTCTCCATTACTGAAAATGCACAAAAAATGCACATTTCAACTCTATCAGTTTCCCGATCTGTCCATGTCCTTCCCTCCCACAAGACCTTAGCACATGCTGTTGCCTTCACTTGGAAATGCTTTATTGGATAACTCATACTCATTGATCAGGTCTCAACCTACAAATCACTTAACTCAGAGACCTCACCTTACTTTCCACCCATTCCAAATTAGATTTTTCTGTATCACTAACTCATAGCAACTTCTCTTCCTTTTTGCACTTCTCAGAATTTAGCATTGTTCTTTGATTTATACTAGTATATTCTTATTTTATATCTAAGTATTTAGAAGATGTGATACATTCATAGTTCAAAAATCAAAAACTATATTAAGGTCTACATTGAGGCGGCTTGTTTCCATCCTAGTCTCTATCTGCTCTGATCCACCTCCACCATTTGTTTGTGCCATTTTATTAGTTCATTGTTTACTCTTCCTCTGTAAATACAAGTAATATAATTATATTTTCGTATTTTGGCCCATTTTTTTTAAAAAAAGCTAGCATTCAACATATGCTGTTCTCTATTTCTATACTTTATTTCTTTAAAACTATATTTTAGAGATCATCCCACACCAATATACAAATTTCTTTGCCATTCTTTTTTTCAGTTGCACAGTATTACATTATATGAATTAATATAGTTTCTTCAACTTTTGTTGTTTCTAGCCTTTTCTATGATAAATTATGCTGCGATTAATAATATTCACAAGTGCCATTTTATGTTTTTGTAGGATATATATCCTAGATAGTTTGGTCAAACCCAAATGGAAGTATCTCTATTATTAGTATACATTTCTGGGTTTTCCTTAGGATTTCTACAGTTTCGTGGCATAACCAATGGAATATGAGAGTGCTTATCCTCCCATAGCCTTAAAAAATAAAAATATTCAATAAACTTCTCAATTTTTACTAGATTGGTAGGTAAGAAATTGTATTTCAGTGTAGATTAAATGTGAAATACTTTTATTAAAAGTGTTCTCAGTTATCTTTTTTGTTAAAAGATCCACTAGTACTATTTCTTTTTCTTTGAGCCATTATTTCATGTCCTTAGCTTATTTTCCTATTAATTTATCGATTTTTCCTTTTATGATTTTTCAGCTTTTATGTACATAGCAAGATTAGACTTCATCAGTGATATGCTGCAAATATTGTTTGATTTTACTTTTTTTTACGTTTCTTTTTGCCAGGCAGAATTTGTTTGTTTTCATTTTTCTTACTGTTAAACTTACCAATTTTTTCTTTTGAGCTTTTAGATATTGAATCACCATTAAAATGGCGCTCCCCACTCTAAGATTATAATGAATTTCTTCCCTATTTTCCTTTTAGAACTTCTATCTTGTTTTGTTTTGAACATTTAAATCTGTGATTCATTTAGTTTATCCTGATGTCAGTGTATGTATGAATCCAAATTTCTCTTTGTCCAAGTGACTAGCCAGTTATCCCAACGCCATTTATTTATTGAAGGCCCTTCTGCACTGCTCTGCTGATTTAAGAGCCTCCTTTATCATACACTACCTTCCAATAAGTTTTGAAATCTCCTTCTGGACTTTGTCATATGTATAGTTATTTACTGCCTGCTTTCTTACTGGACTCTAAGTTGCCTCAGGGTGAGGAATGTGTCTGTTTTGTTTAGCCTATGTCCCCACAGTTTAGAATAGTGCCTGGCACGTGACAGGCCCTCAATACATATTGGTTGTATTTGGTGAATGCTTATGAAAGTCTAGGAGAATGTTTCCCTTTTCCCCACAAACAGGTTTAAAGAGTGTTTAACATTTTTAATTTAATAAATATTTTACAGAGACTGAAAATAAAAAATGGGTGATAGACAATATACAATCACGTACTTCTATTTGAGGTACATAACATTTTCTCGTAAGCCAAATATTAATATTTTATCTAAAACATTTAATTCAATATATATCTTGACAGGAATCAAAGAATATTAAAATTTTAACATCTAAAGGAAACACATATATTAAGCACAAACAATATAAATCAATTTTTATATACAGTAGACACTTGGACTTTGCAAATGCAACATTAGTTCTTTTACCCTAAATAATCCTGGAGGTCTAAAATATTTAATAACTGGCAATATTTCTGGGAAGCATTATTTTGAAATGGAAACATTAGTATGTAAAAGCAAGTCCCCCAACTCAAGCTTGATCTTAGCCCATCAGGCCCCAGTATTTGCTTTGCAGTACAACTTTGCTATTCTTATTTATTATACTTATTGATGTTTGACTTCATTTGATACCCACAATTGCACTAAGTAGGTCATTCACTCCTTTATATCGAGGAGGAAACTCAGACAATTATACACTATAGCTGGCAACGAATTTGGGGATTTTCAAAGATCTCAGGACATATTCCTTGCAAATGTCAATAATCTACTGTATTTTAAAAGTGCAGCATTCCATTGTAGAATTATTAATACATTCAGATAATTTTATTTCATTCTTCATTGGCAAAACAGCAGCATTAACAGCAAAAGAGCACTCAACTTCAATAATATGCAAATGATGCAAATACATCTTAAGAATCAGATGTTAATGAGACAGCAAGTAAACTACCTGTTAAATAGTAACAACATATTTAATAGCCCTTTTAATGGTATAAAAAATTAGAAGCTCAATATCTCCCTCCTCTATTTAGCAACTCATGTTATTTTTCCTTGCCCCTTATTATCGGGATATTGGTGTATGGGGGACATTGTTTAAAACATGTTGAACTTAAAAATTTTAATTGTATCCAATGCAAACTCTTTTAAGAATGCAAGATTCTCTAATAGACATCTTGTTATATTGTTTAAAATAAAAGAACATATAGGGCTGGAATGAAAGAGACCTAGAACTTAATCCAACTGTGAACATGAATTCACTGTATTGTCCACTGAATAAATCTGTACAAGTCACACAGCTTCTCTGGTTATATAGTACACCCACAAAATGAGTGGAATTTGCCATAACATCCCTTATATTCATTCAGGTTTTAAATAATCTAAAATCCCATAGTCCTATGATCTGTCTCTAAGTATACCATTCTTTACAGCTATCTAGATGCCAATTCTAGCTGATCACATTTACTAAAGGTTAAAGGTTAAAGATTAAAGGATGTCTTTTTTGTAATTTTTGTTTCAAAATATTAGGGAGTACAAGTGTTCTTACATGGATGAATGGTATAATGCTGAAGTCAGGGCTTTCAGTGTGCTCATCACCAGAATAGTGTACATTGTACCCAATAGGTAAGTTTTTATCCCTCAGCTCCCTCCGACCCTCCCCCCTTCTTAGTGTCCAATGTCCTTTACACCACTTTATGGCCATGTATACTAAAGGGTGTATTAAACTGGATAGCTATGGCAGACTTTGCAAATCAAAAAAAAAAAAATAACTATTGAGTAGAATTGAAGGAATTTTGCAAAATAACCTTCTAATTGACGAGAAATATTTCAGATCTGCTCCATATTGCAATTTTATACATAACAGCATTTCAACTGAACAACTTGCAACCATTTGATTCTCTATGAAAGAATAAAGCAAAAAATCTAATCTTGCTATTCAAGCTGTATATATTTTGTACCAACTGTTAAACTTCCAAACAGTATACTGTTTAACAAAATTCTGAAAAATATTGTTAAACAGTATAAATCTGCCAAGTGCCTAAGCAATAGTGATGGAAGTTAACTCTATTTGACAATATGATGTTGTAGAGTCTTTGAAATCCAAGAGTTTAACTCCACTGGCATGTGCAATCTACAGGTTCCTGGAGAGTGTACATAATTTCAGTGCCATTTCCTGAGCAATACAGAGGCACAGTCAAGTTTCTCACTCCATTTTCACGACAGCACTTGCAGAATCTTAGGTGACTTTCAATATTGATGTTATAAATGGTAGCTGATGGGCATTTTCCATCACAAGATGCAACATTTATCTGTAAGGAGAGACAATGAGAAAAATTGTCTTAAAATTTTTAAAACCCTGGTTATTATTAGGTTACATTAAGAAGTCAAATGAAAGCAATG